GGCTGACAAATAGACAGCAGAGAGTTTGCATAAATGGGGAGAAATCAGAATGGGGCACATCATAAGCGGTGTTCCTCAGGGGTCAGTGTTGTGCCCATTGTTGTTCACAATTTACATAAATGACATAGATGAGGGAATAAATAGCGACATAAGCAATTTTGCTGATGATACCAAAATAGGCTGTCCAATTCATTCTAATGAGAACACTAGAGCACTCCAGGATGATTTGAATAGACTGATGCAATGATCGGAGAAGTGACAGATGCAGTTTAATATTGACAAATGCAAAGTTCTAAATGTTGGACAGTTAAATAACCATGCCACATATAAACTAAATAATGTAGATTATAATACTACTGATTGTGAAAAGGATTTAGGCATTCTGGTTAGCAGTAATCTAAAACCAAGACAGCAGTGCATTAGTGTTCGCAATAAAGATAACAGAATTCTTGGCTTCATATCTAGAAGTATAAATAATAGAAGTCCTCAGGTTGTTCTTCAACTCTATATATCCTTGGTTAGGCCTCATTTAGACTATGCTGCTCAGTTCTGGTCACCGTATTACAGAATGGATATAAATGCTCTGGAAAACGTACAGAGGTGGATGACAAAGATGATCCCATGTATCAGAAATCTTCCCTATGAGGATAGCCTGAGGGCCCTAAATCTGCACTCTATCAAAAGGCGTAGAATTAGGGGGGATATGATCGAGGTGTATAAATGGAAAACAGGAATAAATAAAGGAGATGTAAATAGCGTGCTGAAAATTTCCAGCCAAGACAGGACTTGCAGCAATGGTTTCAAGTTGGAAAAATTCAGATTCAGGAAGGATATAGGAAAGCACTGGTTTGGTAATAGAGTTGCAGATGAGTGGAACAAACTCCCGAGTACAGTTATTGAGGCTAAAACGTTGTGTAGTTTTAAAAATAGGTTAGATAAATACATGAGTGGGTGTGGGTGGGTGTGAGTTGGACCTGACTAACTTGTGCTGCTGGGTCTGGTGCAGTGCTCCATCCTTGAGTGGAGGTAACCAGACTGGATGGGTCATTGGGCTAATCCGGGGGGGTCATTGGTCTAATCTGGGGTGGGTGGGGCATTGGTCTAATCTGGGGGGGGGGGATGTGGACCTGCTCCGCATGGGTCAGTAGGCCTGTTGCAGTGTTCCTTCTTTCTTATGTTCTTACCACAGGGTTGGCACTAGAAGCTTTCTTGAGGTGCATGGTGGCTTATTTAGCAGTTGCAGGCACTAAAAGCAATGGAATAATACAAAATATATCGCATGCATGCATGGAATCGACTGTAACGGCTTGTAAACAATGTCAAACTGGCTATACATGGAGTCTTGGAGTGGCCGGGCCCGCTCAGGCCGTGTGGACGCGTTCGGGACAAAAGCCTTTAGCCAAGTTTTTTGGTGTTGGTCGAGTCAATATATTAATGCCAAAGAGAGAGCCGTTAGCTGATTTTGGCGTTAGCCGATGCAGCCATTAGTCGAGGGCCCACTGTACATGGTACTGTATGCCTACTGTTTTGGATACTTTCTTGGATATAGTATGTTGGATGTGGGTCTGAAACTTAAGGTTGCAGTCAAGGTGAAGACCTAAAAATTTTCCCTCAGCGTGTCTTGTTATGGGGATCTATTAATTAATATGTTAAGTTGGATATTTAAAACTTGTTTCCAAACAGCATGAAGTAGGTTTTGCCTATACAGTGGACCCCCGCATAGCGATTTTAATCTGTGCAAGACGGCTCATTGTTATGCGAAATGATCGGTATGCGAATGAATTTTCCCCATAAGAAATAATGGAAATCAAATTAATCCATGCAAGACACCCAAAAGTATGAAAAAAAAAAAAATTTTACCACATGAAATGTTAATTTTAATACACACAAACTGAAAAAGGCATGCACAATTACATGACACTTACTTTTATTGAAGATCTGGTGATGATTGATGGGATGGGAGGAGGGGAGAGAGAGTGTTAGTGTTTAGAAGGGGAATCCCCTTCCATTAAGACTTGAGGTGTCGAGTCCTTTTCTGGGGTTACTTCCCTTCTTCTTTTAATGCCACTAGGACCAGCTTCAGAGTCACTGGACTTCTTTCGCACAACATATCTGTCCATAGTGGCCTGTACCTCTCGTTCTTTTATGACTTCCCTAAAGTGTTTCACAACATTGTCAGTGTAATAATCACCAGCACGGCTTGCAATAGCTGTGTGAGGGTGATTCTCATCCATAAAGGTTTGCACTTTCAGCCACATTACACAGATTTCCTTAATCTTTGTAGTAGGCAACTTCTTCAATTTCTCTCTCCCCTCCTCTGAACCAGTTTCCTCAGGTATGGCCTCTTGCTGTTGAAGTTGATCTATCAGCTCATCAGTGGTTAGTTCTTCATTGTCCTCCTCCACCAACTCTTCCACATCCTCCCCACTAACCCCAACCCCAAGGACTTTCCCAATGCCACAATGGATTCCTCAACACTGGCATAATCCTCTCAAAGGGTTAGCCTCAAACCCTTCAAAATCCCTTTTGTCTATACATTCTGGCCACAGTTTCTTCCAAGCAGAGTTCAAGGTCTTCTTAGTCACTCCCTCCCAAGCCTTACCTATAAGGTTTACACAATTGAGGATATTAAAGTGCTCTCTCCAAAACTCTCTTAGAGTCAGTTGAGTTTCTGACGTCACTACAAAGCACCTTTCAAACAGAGCTTTTGTGTACAGTTTTTTGAAGTTTGCAATAACCTGCTGGTCCATGGGGTGCAGGAGAGGAGTGGTATTAGGAGGCAAAAACTTCACCTTAATGAATTTCATGTCCCCATAAAGTCGCTCTGCCACGTCTGTAGGATGACCAGGGGCATTGTCTAACACCAGGAGGCACTTAAGTTCTAATTTCTTTTCAGTTAGGTAATCTTTCACATTGGGGGCAAATGCATGGTGTAACCAGTCATAGAAAAAGTCCCTAGTGACCCATGCCTTACTGTTTGCCCTCCACAGCACACACAAATTCTCCTTGAGGAGGACATTCTTTTGCCTGAACGGTCTGGGAGTTTCAGAGTGATACACTAATAAAGGCTTCACTTTGCAATCACCAGTAGCATTGGAACACATCAACAAAGTAAGCCTGTCTTTCATAGGCTTATGTCCTGGGAGTGCCTTTTCCTCCTGAGTAATGTAGGTCTTGCTTGGCATTTTCTTCCAAAACAGGCCTGTTTTATCACAATTAAACACTTGTTCAGGTTTCAGTCCTTCACTGTCTATGTACTCCTTGAATTCCTGCACATATTTTTTCAGCTGCTTTGTGGTCCGAACTGGCAGCCTCACCATGCCTTATCACACTATGTATGCCACTACGCTTCTTAAATCTCTCAAACCAACCTTTGCTGGCCTTAAATTCACTCACATCATCACTAGTTGCAGGCATTTTTTTAATTAAATCCTCATGCAACTTCCTAGCCTTTTCGCTTATGATCACTTGAGAGACGCTATCTCCTGCTAGCTGTTTTTTCATTTATCCACACCAATAAGAGTCTCTCAACATCTTCCATCACTTGCGATCTCTGTTTCGAAAACACAGTTAAACCTTTGGCAAGAACAGGTTCCTTGATTGCCTTTCTGTTGCCACAAATAGTAGCGATGGTTGATTGGGGTTTCTTGTACAACCTGGCCAGGTCGGCGACACGCACTCCACTTTCATACTTATCAGTGATCTCTTTCTTCATCTCTATAGTAATTCTCACCCTTATTGCTGTAGGGTTGGCACTAGAAGCTTTCTTGGGGCCCATGGTCACTTATTTTACAGATAAAATCACCAAAAACACTGTAATAATACGAAATGTTCCGATTGTATGCTTGGATGTTACCGCGGAGGCTGGCTGGTAAACAATGCCACCAGCGGCACATGTGAGGCTGGCTAAGGGCGCACATTAGACGCGTCTCGGATGAACAGCGGTGAGCGGGTTTTTGAGCGGTATGCGAGGCAAAATTTTTGCGATAAAAGCGAGCGGTATGCGGATTAAACGTTATGTGATGCCAACGGTATGCGGGGGTCCACTGTACAGTATTGAAAGTGAGTTTGTTGGTCATCATCCACAAAGATATTTTTAGTAGGTTGTTGTTAACGGTGTCTCTAAGCAAGGATGGGTTTGAGTGAGAGAAGACGCAAGTAGTGTCATTTGCGACTAGAACTGGTTTAAGGAGTTGAGATGTGTTGGGAAGGTCATTGATGTAAATGAGAAAGAGTAGTGGGCCAAGGACATAATTAATATTTCCCTTGGGTGCCATGGTTAATATAAAGAGATAAGATGATGAGGTGAAAAGATCCAAACTTGCTCTCTTCACCAAGGACAGAGAAAGGTATGGGACTCACCTGCCTGGTAACTGGAGCATGGGAGGTTGTTTTTATCATAGTGACAAGAGGTCTTCCCTCCGAAAAACAATGAACTGCCCATAGGCTAACTACGAGTGGAGGGAACATATCCCACAGTGTGTTCTTGCAGGAATTGAGGGTAACATGGGCTGTTTGCATTTCTTCCCAAAGATTTTTATGGCATAATATACCAGTTTTCCTCATGCATTACTGTTTTGGTGATAATGTGCTGCATGAATGTGTGTTACCTGAGAGGCAACTTTCCAAACAAAGGAAACACATTCATCATCTTTCATTTAGGTTATCTCTCTGAAGTTCAAAGTTTCCATTAATCCTTGCAAGTGCAGACAATGTACTTTCCACCTCACTGTACTTCCTACCTCACTGTATTTCTCACCTCACTGTACTTCTCACCTCATTATACTTCCCAATTCATTATGCTTTCTAACTCACTGTACTGTCCACCTCGCCTCACCATACTTCCTACCTCCAGAACCCAAATCTGGGTAACCAGTTTCCCTACATTCCTTTGCTAATGTTATCTTGCTCACACTTCACATACACACATACATACATCACATCCCAAAAAGCTAAATTATTATACCATCTCAATTAGCGATTAAACATTTTTTTTTCAGCGTCAAAAGGGATCAGGCTTTTTACCTCCTGGTCGTCCCAAGAAATGGAAGGAAAGAACATTAACAGTACTTAAAGAAGCTGCAGCAGAGCGTATAGAAGGAAATATGTTTGAAGATCGAGAAGGAAGTAAAAACTGGCTAATAAAACATCTTGAGGTAAAGAGTGTATATGTACAATGCTTACTATATGCAATGTATCAAGTGTAAGATTGATAGTGGGATCATTGGTGGTTGAGCTCTTCCAACCCATTGTAAAATGTTTTAATAGATTCAGAAATGTATGGCATATTAAGATGTGGAGTTGGAGTTCAACCCATACAAACTCGACAAGGTAAATTCTGTACAGTGAAATCCCAGTAATTGTTGTGGGATACATTTTTGAGCCTTTTGCAACTGGTGATACATCCATGAAGGTTCTCTTGAATACTTGACTTTTTTAAGTTAAATATTTGGTATACATTGGAGATCAGTTGTGTGTATGGTGAACTTTGGGGAGTAGTGGGTAGTGGTAGAGGATGATGATGATGATTGGGAAAGTGTAGAGATGAGTAGGGGGGTGGTGGTGCTGAGTGGTGGAATGTGGTGGTGTGTGTGACAACCCATGGAAAAAACAGGGTGAGATATAACTTGTATTAATGCCTCAGGTAGGTCATGAAAGCAGACAAGCTCTCTATACTTTCCTGCAAGTGACAGGTATTTTAAATACATGTATATGAGCTGGTTCATAAAGGCTCCCAGGCTGAGATTGTTTGACTTATGATATTTCGACTTTATGATTACTTTGGAGGTGAAACTCTAAGATAATTATCCATCATGAAGGCGGTAAGGCCGTAACTTGTATTCATTTATTTACTTTTCATTATTAGTATTTAGTTACAGTAATTAATTATTTACTTATTCAGTAACAGTAGGTGGGAAGGAGGGGCTTGGGATATTGGTTGTTGGGAGTGACTTCTAAACTGTCGTATCTAAGTGTCTCTGCAAAGACAGTGATTGTGTGAATGATGGTGAAAGTGTTTCTATTTTGGGTCACCCTGCCTTGGTGGGAGATGGCCGATGTGTTAAAAAAAATTCATATTCAACTTAACTGTGTTTTGGACTTACGATGGGTTTGTCAGGATGTAACCCCATCATAAGTCGAGGAGCACCTGTATCTGGTTAACTTAGCTTTGCCCAACACCTCAGGTAATTGTGCTCAGCTTGCAAGGATGAACAATTCTTACCCATTTTACCTTCAGTGAATGTATTATTATTGCTGCTTAAAGCACCTCATATACAGTATGATTTCAATTGGAAAGTCTCACAGATTTATCTACACATACAATGTTAAGTGTGTAGACTAGAGACTTCACTAGCTTGTACATAGTATGCAAAGTTGTCAGTCGAGAGAGCAGGTCGACTTAGCTTCTTGCTACAGCATCACTGCTTTTTTTTTTCTTTAGGAATCTTTTTTTTTTTTTTCAACAAACTGGCTGTATCCCACCAAGGCAGGGTGGCCCAAAAAGAAAAACGAAAGTTTCTCTTTTTACATTTAGTAATATATACAGGAGAAGGGGTTACTGGCCCCTTGTTCCTGGCATTTTAGTCACCTCTGACAACACACATGGCTTACGGAGGAAGAATTCTGTTCCACTTCCCCATGGAGGTAAGAGGAAATAAACAAGAACAAGAACTAGTAAGAAAATAGAAGAAAACCTAGAGGGGTGTGTATATATATGCTTGTACATGTATGTGTAGTGTGACCTAAGTGTAAGTAGAAGTAGCAAGACGTACCTGAAATCTTGCATGTTTATGAAACAGAAAAAAGGACACCAGCAATCCTACCATCATGTAAAACAATTACAGGCTTTCGTTTTACACTCGCTTGGCAGGACGGTATAATTTGAGCGACTTAAGTATATTCTTTCATGCACTCAGAATTGTTTCCGGTTTGTAACTGAGCATCATTTTACGTCTCAGGTGATACGTCTGCTGTTGCTTGAAGACATGAAGGTGATCAGGTCACTGTGTGTGCCATGCTTCCCACCAAATTATGATATCACAAACCGCTATGTACAGATGTACCACAAGAGTTTAGCCAATCATGTAAGTACTTGACTGCTCCATGCTGTTGCCTTGTAAAGTTTTGAAATGAGCTCTGACTTACACAGACATCTTTCAAATTTTGCCATGTTTGTTAAACTTTATGCTTTCTTAGTCTTTTTCATTGTTCCCTGTTTTCTGGACATGCATCAGAATATAATCAAATACAGCCTCTTCTCACTTAACGACAGAGTTCTGTTCCTAATACTGCGTCACTAAATGAATTCGTCACTAAACGAGGAGCTTACTGTAATGGTAGTGGGTTTATATCAACCATCTTTGATATTGCTTTAATGTCACCCTTGCACCATTTATAGCATTTTTAGTATATTTTTAAATGTTTATACAGTAGTGTACTGTATATTGTAATAAACAAAATAGAGGAAACCAGCTCTAATATACATTATTTAGATGTGCATGCTGGTCAGAGAGCCCGTCATAAGTCCGAGTCGTCGGTAAGCGAACACATCGCTAAGTAAGGAGAGGCTATACTTATTCATTATTGTTTATTTATTTGTGTGATATGTTTTATAACTGGTTAAGTCTGGTTAGCTGATGTTAATCTAGGACCTGCTTGCCATGGGTTTAAACCCTATGCAATCTTTAATTTGATGTTAATATTACTTATAGTAAATATGAGGCAAATGAACTTAAGAAAATGTTTGCATTAGGAGAAGTGGTTGTAGTTTTATACTAATTTTTTTTTACTGTTGATTTTTGTGTAGTGATGTTAAAGAAGAAAAGGATGTCATTCTTTAATACTATAATATTCTTAATAAACCATACTGTAAAAAAAAAAAATTTATGGTTTCTTTCCCATATGACAAGGTAATAACCAAGATAGAGCAAATGACAAGAAATATTATTCTTTCTTTCTTTCAACACACCGGCCGTATCCCACCGAGGCGGGGTGGTCCAAAAGGAAAAACGATAGTTTCTCCTTTTACATTTAGCAATATATACAGAAGAAGGGGTTACTAGCCCCTTGCTCCTGGCATTTTAGTCGCCTCTTACAACACGCATGGCTTACAGAAGAAGAATTCTGATCCACTTCCCCATGGAGGTAAGAGGAAATAAACAAGAACAAGAACTAGTAAGAAAATAGAAGAAAACCCAGAGGGGTGTGTATATATATGCTTGTACATGTATGTGTAGTGTGACCTATGTGTAAGTAGAAGTAGCAAGACATACCTGAAATCTTGCATGTTTATGAGACAGAAATAAGGACACCAGCAATCCTACCATCATGTAAAATGATTACAGGCTTTCGTTTTGCACTCACTTGGCAGGACGGTAGTACCTCCCTGGGCGGCTGCTGTCTACCAACCTACTACCTAAAAGAAATATTATTGTTCTGCATTAATTGTAACCCTTATATTCCTAGAAATAATAATAAGAGTTAATGTTGGTACTTAAAATTATAACACCTATGTAAACACAATTTTGTAATGACAGAGAGCTCATTTTTTTAACACACCAGCTATCTCTCAATGATATAGGATCACTCAAAAAAAGAAGAAACACTTTCACCATTACTCACTCCATCACCATCTTGCCAAAGGTATGCCATCACTACTGCTCATATGCTATGGTTACATAAATGTAAAGTAAAATTAATTTCCTATTTCAGCTTGTAGAAATAATAGATGGAGGACTGGAGGATAACGAGTATGTGTCGCTTCTCTCGTGGGTTCTCAATGTCTACGGTGGGAAGGAATTGATGGGCCATCCTTCACTCAACATTGATGTTTCCAAGTTAGGACCACTCCTGGATAATAAGATTCTGGATAATCTTATATCTAAGTATCTTCAGGTCAGACATCTTCCTACCTTTCCAGATCAAAACTGGAATGTTTGGAACTAGGAATTGGGGTCTCTAAAATATTTAGTAATTCTGGCCCCATTCTACTGGGTTCTGGAATAGAAGAGCAGCCACATCCATGTAGTGAGTTCTGGATATTTTTTGAAGACTGTAGGTAATCATTTATTGAAAATAGTGTATATAGTATTGTCTATGTCTGGACAAAATATACCTATATAGGATCATATTTGCTTAAATCTCATTTCACAGGTATTGATTTATCAAAAAGGGCATAGCACTCACCAGGGAATATAATATTAATAAGAGACTTTTCAGTAAAAGGAGGCCTTAGACAGGGATATGTAATGTCACCATGGTTGTTTAATATACAGTATTTATAGACTTGGTTATAAATCAAGTAAATGCTTGGGTGTTGGGGAGAGGGGTGGGATTAGATTATGGGGAAGCAAATACAAATGGGAGTTGACACAGTTACTTTTTGATGATAATACTGTGTTTTGGGGGATTCTAATGAAATTTTTTCTTTCTTTTTGGGTTACCCTGCCTCAGTGGGAAACAGCCGACATGTTAAAAAAAAATATTTATTTATATGTTTATTTACAGAATGTAAATAGTAATTATGATTCCTGGATGAACAAAGCATTAGAAATTGAGGAGAAAGAGTGGTACCGTTCTGAACCTCCACAACAAGATGCTGATTCACACTACAAAACAGAACTTCCTCAACTCATTCATGATATGATACGTCAGAACTTAGAAGTTGCTGCCACCATCAGGTGAGTTTATGGCACAAGTTGCTCACTTTATTTACTTAGAGCATGTCTAAAAGGCTCACGCAATTTAAAAGTTGAATTTAATTCTAGTATTATACAGAGCTGTAACACTGAATAACCCATACCAGTTCAGCGTTTTTATTTTTTTTGGAGTATGTTAAGTAAGTTTAACATACTAAGTTGCACTCTGCAACTTAATATGTTAAACATAGTGGAATTAGAGTGGCTGCCACCAACAGAGATAACCAGATAATAGATGATGCTAGAACCCTACAATCTTTGTAGGGTAGTTGCTTGTAGAATACATAGTCATAATTGGAAAAAATTAAAAGCCTTGGTAACAGACGATAGAAGAAAATGTGTTTCAGTATTAAAAAAAAAATTATCATAGCCAAGGAAGGTGTAATAGCAACAGAGTGAGGAATTGATGATTTTATAGAAACAACATTGTTTTGCTGCCAGCAGCAGTAATGAAGTTTTGTGCTGCTTCAAGAATAAATAAAGCCATTTTGCTACACTGATTTTTTTCCTTATTTTGCTACATGCAATGTACAGCATTTTTTAAATAATGTTTTTTATGAAAAATAATTTGTTTATTGGCATAATAAAAATATATTTTTGGCATAAAAAAATCTTTAAAAAATATTGTACACTGGGTCAGCCTGTCTTGGCAGGAGATGGCTGTTGAGGTTAAGAGATATGCTTTAGTTTTTATTGTATCTTGGTACAATTTATTTCATGTCCACTGTTTAGTATTATGCAGTACAGTAGTCTACCCAAATTCATAGGGGTTATGTTCCAAGAACACCCGTGAATTTGGAAAAACCGCGAATTCTGGATGTAGTTAAAAAAATGCCTATAAGTGCCTATTTTTATAGTTTAAACCCTAAATATGCCCCCAAAACACTTTAATTTGATTTCTAACTCAGCTTCATACTTCACCCTTAAAAAAAAAAAATGTAAAGATAAACCCGTATACAGTATTGTACTTCTATGTCTCCTGCAGTGTTAGAATGTAAAATACCGATGGGATCATGACAGAAATGTTAAAAGCAGGGGGGGATATAGTATTGGAGTGGTTGGTACTTTTGTTTAATAAATGTATGAAAGAGGGGAAGGTACCTAGGGATTGGCAGAGAGCATGTATAGTCCCTTTATATAAAGGGAAAGGGGACAAAAGAGACTGTAAAAATTACAGAGGAATAAGCTTACTGAGTATACCAGGAAAAGTGTACGGTAGGGTTATAATTGAAAGAATTAGAGGTAAGACAGAATGTAGGATTGCGGATGAGCAAGGAGGTTTTAGAGTGGGTAGGGGATGTGTAGATCAGGTGTTTACATTGAAGCATATATGTGAACAGTATTTAGATAAAGATAGGGAGGTTTTTATTGCATTTATGGATTTAGAAAAGGCATATGATAGAGTGGATAGAGGAGCAATGTGGCAGATGTTGCAAGTATATGGAATAGGTGGTAAGTTATTAAATGCTGTAAAGAGTTTTTATGAGGATAGTGAGGCTCAGGTTAGGGTGTGTAGAAGAGAGGGAGACTACTTCCCGGTAAAAGTAGGTCTTAGACAGGGATGTGTAATGTCACCATGGTTGTTTAATATATTTATAGATGGGGTTGTAAAGGAAGTAAATGCTAGGGTGTTTGGGAGAGGGGTGGGATTAAATTATGGGGAATCAAATTCAAAATGGGAATTGACACAGTTACTTTTTGCTGATGATACTGTGCTTATGGGAGATTCTAAAGAAAAATTGCAAAGGTTAGTGGATGAGTTTGGGAATGTGTGTAAAGGTAGAAAGTTGAAAGTGAACATAGAAAAGAGTAAGGTGATGAGGGTGTCAAATGATTTAGATAAAGAAAAATTGGATATCAAATTGGGGAGGAGGAGTATGGAAGAAGTGAATGTTTTCAGATACTTGGGAGTTGACGTGTCGGCGGATGGATTTATGAAGGATGAGGTTAATCATAGAATTGATGAGGGAAAAAAGGTGAGTGGTGCGTTGAGGTATATGTGGAGTCAAAAAACGTTATCTATGGAGGCAAAGAAGGGAATGTATGAAAGTATAGTAGTACCAACACTCTTATATGGGTGTGAAGCTTGGGTGGTAAATGCAGCAGCAAGGAGACGGTTGGAGGCAGCGGAGATGTCCTGTCTAAGGGCAATGTGTGGTGTAAATATTATGCAAAAAATTCGGAGTGTGGAAATTAGGAGAAGGTGTGGAGTTAATAAAAGTATTAGTCAGAGGGCAGAAGAGGGGTTGTTGAGGTGGTTTGGTCATTTAGAGAGAATGGATCACAGTAGAATGACATGGAAAGCATATAAATCTATAGGGGAAGGAAGGCGGGGTAGGGGTCGTCCTCGAAAGGGTTGGAGAGAGGGGTAAAGGAGGTTTTGTGGGTAAGGGGCTTGGATTTCCAGCAAGCGTGCGTGAGCGTGTTAGATAGGAGTGAATGGAGACGAATGGTACTTGGGACCTGACGATCTGTTGGAGTGTGAGCAGGGTAATATTTAGTGAAGGGATTCAGGGAAACCGGTTATTTTCATATAGTCGGACTTGAGTCCTGGAAATGGGAAGTACAATGCCTGCACTTTAAAGGAGGGGTTTGGGATATTGGCAGTTTGGAGGGATATGTTGTGTATCTTTATACGTATATGCTTCTAAACTGTTGTATTCTGAGCACCTCTGCAAAAACAGTGATAATGTGTGAGTGTGGTGAAAGTGTTGAATGATGATGAAAGTATTTTCTTTTTGGGGATTTTCTTTCTTTTTTGGGTCACCCTGCCTCGGTGGGAGACGGCCGACTTGTTGAAAAAAAAAAAAAAAAAAAAAAAAAAAACCCCATATGTACTGTAATTCATGCAAGCCCATTTTCTTTGGTATACTGTAATTTATACACTACTGTATAAACTTTTAAAAATATACTAAAACTGTTATAAATGGTGCAGAGGTGACATAAAAACAATATCAAAGATAATTTACACAAGTCCAATATCATTATAGTATGCTCCTTGCTTAGTGATGAATTCATATACCAACATGGTTTTAGGAACGGAACCCCGTTGTTAAGTGAGGAGAGGCTGTACTTTGTTTACATGTGCTAAAATATCTAGCTTTTATGCTGAATTGTTTTTTATTTTTTGAGACAGTATGATATTCATTGAAATACTGCTTTTCTTACTCCAAATATAAGCATAAAAATGCTGTATCTTTCCTCAAAAATCACTTGAAAAGAAATATGATTTGTTTTTTCATCAAACTGGCCATATCCCACTGAGGCTGGGTGACCTAAAAAGAAAAACAAAAGTTTCTCTTTTTAACTTTAGTGATGTATACAGGAGAAGGGGTTACTAGCCCCTTGCTCCTGGCATTTTAGTCGCCTCTTTGGCCACGCATGGCTTACGAAGGAAGAATTCTGTTCCACTTCCCCATGGAGATAAATAAACAAGAACAAGAACTAATAAGAAAATAGAAGAAAAGCCAGAGGGGTGTGTATATATATGCTTGTACATGTATGTGTAGTGTGACCTAAGTGGAAGTAGAAGTAGAAAAATGTACCTGAAATCTTGCATGTATCTTTCTTTCTTTCAACACACCGGCCGTATCCCACCGAGGCGGGGTGGCCAAAAAGGAAAAACAAAAGTTTCTCCTTTTACATTTAGTAATATATACAGGAGAAGGGGTTACTAGCCCCTTGCTCCTGGTATTTTAGTCGCCTCTTACAACACACATGGCTTACAGAGGAAGAATTCTGTTCCTCTTTCCCATGGAGGTAAGAGGAAATGAACAAGGACAAGAACTAGAAAGAAAACCCAGAGTGGTGTGTATATATATGCTTGTACATGTATGCGTAGTGTGATCCAAGTGTAAGTAGAAGTAGCAAAACGTACCTGAAATCTTGCATGTATATGAGACAGAAAAAAAAGACACCAGCAATCCTACCATCATGTAAAACAATTACAGGCTTATGTTTTACACTCACTTGGTGGGATGGTAGTACTTCCCTGGGCAGTTGCTGTCTACCAACCTACTACCTAGGAAATTTGTTTTTATCCCATAATATTGATAATTGTAAATACCTGTATGATAATATGCAATTTAATAGAATTTTTTTTTTTCAACAAACCCGCCGTATCCCACCAAGGCAGGGTGGCCCAAAAAGAAAAACAAAAGTTTCTCTTTTTAAATTTAGTAATTTATACAGGAGAAGGGGTTACTAGCCCCTGGCTCCTGGCATATGAGGAGAAATACTGAATATAATAAACAGTATAAATAATAAAAAAATTTGATAGCCATTTCTTAAAAGAGTATTGAATTAAACTTTTTTTTTTTTCAAACAGTTCAGACGTTCAGGTCCAGGTGCTGATATCTAGCTTGGTGCAGGTTAAACTTTTTGCGGAGAAGTTCAAAACTGCAGTGACACGTTACAAGGCCACTTACTATGCTGACCGGTCACAGGTAACATTTTTGCCTTCTCAGTGAAATATAAGGTCACTTATGCTGACCATTCACAGGTAATGTTTTTGTCTTCTCAGTGGCATGATACAAGGCCATTTACTATGCTGACCAATCACAGGTAACCATTTTGTCTTCTCAGTGACTCATACAACACCACTTATTATTCTGTTAGGTTGCAGGTAACCACTTTTGCCTTCTCAGTGACATGATACAAGGTCACTAAGCATCCCATTCTTACAAGTCACAGGTAAACTGCTCCTTAACTCTCTTGAGTTGACATAAGGCCTTTTACTGCACTATGCTCACAAGTAACTGATAACCTACTTTCTTAGTCTTTCTCATACTCATTTCTTATTTCTAAATAGAATGTTAGTAAAAGAAGTGGGCATTTGGAAAATTTGGTGTACTGTACGTTATAAAATCTCTCAGTAAAGAACAGAGTATCTGATAATTACCGTATCAAACAGTGTGATATCTGATAATTATTGTATCAAACAATGTGATATATGATAATTACTGTATCAAACAATGTGATATCTGATAATTACCTGTAATCCAGAGCTACCTGTTACAATTAACCCTTTGACTGTCTGTAATGTAGAACTGTCATTGATACCAGGTATCCCTCATGTAGATCTACATCAGGAGCTCAGTTCACTCAGATAAGCTGTGAGCAATAAATTTTGGCCTGTTGTTATTATTATTATTAGATATGAGAGAATGGGTCTGTGCAGTGAGTGTGCACAGTATTAAAAAAAATCCTCATGTGGTGAATAATGGGAAGAGTATAACTCTGACCTTGTGTTTGGTTTAACCCTTTCATTGGCCATGTCACAGTACTACAGCTTTGAGGTCACTGTCTGTGTCATAGTACTTCACCATGAGCTCGGCTCAGCTCCTTTGGGAACGACATTCCTGAAGGTAAACACTGCTGTCTAGAGTAGTGTACTATTCTGTTCAGACAGAATACTACCATTGTACATATACAGCAGTGCACCATTCTGTTCAGACATTGCAGTGCACCATTCTGTGCAGACATTGCAGTACGCCTTTGCACAGTATTATTGATCTGCTTAGACTTTGTGTTAGTCACATCTATTACCTGGAGTTTACCTGGAGAGAGTTCCGGGGGTCAACGCCGGTCTGTGACCAGGCCTCCTATTACTGTAAATATTTAGAAAACTTTGTATCACCAAACTATTTTACATTTCCATATGTCATTTTGAATATTTTTTTTAGTATGCTGCTGAATATTATCAGTAAATCCTCAATTTAATGGACTACTGGGGGTACAGTGGGTAGTTGGTGATGGCAATTAGAGTGGATAGAGATGTGGCTGTTTTGCCGTATTTGTAACAATTAATGAAATTTCTGTAACCATTGGACTTTGTCCATTGTTATAAAATCAATTGACCAAGATTTTGTTGCGTATTTCAAAAGTCCATTAAATTGAGAGTTTACTGTTCATGGGAAATGCTGAACCTTCAGGGATCATACAGTACCTGGGAAATAAGAGGTAACCAGATTGCTTTACTAATATCAAGTAACCTTTCCTAAGAGGGTAATACTTTATACTGCTGATGAACATCTATAAAATCTGCTTTACTTCTCTACTTGTTCACATATTGTTTCAACAGATCCAGTATTTCACAACGTACATCATAGCTCTAGCTAATAGCTGTCAAGGGCTAGTCGATGTCATGGTAGCAATCAAGTCCCAGTTTTGGAAGTCTTGTGGGTCTACTGAAAACGATGCCAAAATTGCTACTGAGTTTGATGCTTTGCTTACAGTCTACCAGGTGAGCAAATAGGGTCCTTTTCTGTATTTAAGAAATATTCTATGAAGATTAAATATTGCTTAGAGCTCAGAGTCATCCCTTCTAAATCCAAGATCAGTTCTTCACTTATTCAGCAGACACACACATACTGTGTTCGCAAGAGGTAGTTACAACATAGATTATTAACATGTGTGTTGGTGGTGTTGATATATATAAATATTTTTTTATTCAACAAACCGGCTGCCTTCCACTGATAAAGGTAGGGAAGTTTTTATTGCATTTATGGATTTAGAAAAGACATTTGGTAGAGTGGATAGGGGAGCAATGTGGCAGATGTTGCAAGTGTATGGAATAGGTGGTAAGTTACTAAATGCTGTAAAGAGTTTTTATAGGATAGTGAGGCTCAGGTTAGGGTGTGTAGAAGAGAGCTAGACTACTTTCCGTTAAAAGTAGGTCTTAGACAAATGAAAAATCAGATATCAATTTGGGGAGGAGGAGTATGGAAGAAGTGATATACAATTTTTTTTTTTTTTTTCCAACAAGTCGGCCGTCTCCAACTGAGGCAAGGTGACCCAAAAAAGAAAGAAAATCCCCAAAAAGAAAATACTTTCATCATTCAACACTTTCACCACACTCACACAGACAGGCTGCAGACCTGGTCCAGCAATTGGCTCCTGGAGTTCAATCCCACCAAGTGCAAAGTCATGAAGATTGGGGAAGGGCAAAGAAGGCCGCAGACGGAGTACAGTCTAGGGGGTCAGAGACTACAAACCTCACTCAAGGAAAAAGATCTTGGGGTGAGTATAACACCAGGCACATCTCCTGAAGCGCACATCAACCAAATAACTGCTGCAGCATATGGGCGCCTAGCAAACCTCAGAACAGCATTCCGACATCTTAATAAGGAATCATTCAGGACCCTGTACACCGGGTACGTTAGGCCCATATTGGAGTATGCGGCACCAGTTTGGAACCCACACCTAGCCAAGCACGTGAAGAAACTAGAGAAAGTGCAAAGGTTTGCAACAAGACTAGTCCCAGAGCTAAGAGGTATGTCCTACGAGGAGAGGTTAAGGAAAATCAACCTGACGACACTGGAGGACAGGAGAGATAGGGGGGACATGATAACGACATACAAAATACTGAGAGGAATTGACAAGGTGGACAAAGACAGGATGTTCCAGAGATTGGACACAGTAACAAGGGGACACAGTTGGAAGCTGAAGACACAGATGAATCACAGGGATGTTAGGAAGTATTTCTTCAGCCACAGAGTAGTCAGTAAGTGGAATAGTTTGGGAAGCGATGTAGTGGAGGCAGGATCCATACATAGCTTTAAGCAGAGGTATGATAAAGCTCACGGCTCAGGGAGAGTGACCTAGTAGCGATCAGTGAAGAGGCGGGGCCAGGAGCTCGGACTCGACACACGCAACCTCAACTAGGTGAGTACAACTAGGTGAGTACTGTTTTTGCAGAGGTGCTCAGAATACAACAGTTTAGAAGCATATACGTATAAAGATACACAACATATCCCTCCAAACTGCCAATATCCCAAACCCCTCCTTTAAAGTGCAGGCATTGTACTTCCCATTTCCAGGACTCAAGTCCGACTATATGAAAATAACCGGTTTCCCTGAATCCCTTCACTAAATATTACCCTGCTCACACTCCAACAGATCGTCAGGTCCCAAGTACCATTCGTCTCCATTCACTCCTATCTAACACGCTCACGCACGCTTGCTGGAAGTCCAAGCGCCTTGCCCACAAAACCTCCTTTACCCCCTCTCTCCAACCCTTTCGAGGACGACTCCTACCTCGCCTTCCTTCTCCTATAGATTTATATGCTTTCCATGTCATTCTACTTTGATCCATTCTCTCTAAATGACCAAACCACCTCAACAACCCCTCTTCTGCCCTCTGACTAATACTTTTATTAACTCCACACCTTTTCCTAATTTCCACACTCCTAATTTTCTGCATAATATTTACACCACACATTGCCCTTAGACAGGACATCTCCACTGCCTCCAACCGTCTCCTCGCTGCTGCATTTACCACCCAAGCTTCACACTCATATAAGAGTGTTGGTACTACTATACTTTCATACATTCCCTTCTTTGCCTCCATAGATAATGTTTTTTGACTCCACATATACCTCAATGCACCACTCACCTTTTTTCCCTCATCAATTCTATGATTAACCTCATCCTTCATAAATCCATCCGCCGACACGTCAACTCCCAAGTATCTGAAAACATTCACTTCTTCCATACTCCTCCTCCCCAATTTGATATCCAATTTTTCTTTATCTAAATCATTTGATACCCTCATCACCTTACTCTTTTCTATGTTCACTTTCAACTTTCTACCTTTACACACATTCCCAAACTCATCCACTAACCTTTGCAATTTTTCTTTAGAATCTCCCATAAGCACAGTATCATCAGCAAAAAGTAACTGTGTTAATTCCCATTTTGAATTTGATTCCCCATAATTTAATCCCACCCCTCTCCCAAACACCCTAGCATTTACTTCTTTTACAACCCCATCTATAAATATATTAAACAACCGGGAAGTAGTCTCCCTCTCTTCTACACACCCTAACCTGAGCCTCACTATCCTCATAAAAACTCTTTACAGCATTTAGTAACTTACCACCTATTCCATATACTTGCAACATCTGCCACATTGCTCCCCTATCCACTCTATCATATGCCTTTTCTAAATCCATAAATGCAATAAAAACTTCCCTACCTTTATCTAAATACTGCACATATGTGCTTCAATGTAAACACTTGATGTACACATCCCCTACCCACTCTGAAACCTCCTTGCTCATCCGCAATCCTACTTTCTGTCTTACTTCTAATTCTTTCAATTATAACCCTACCGTACACTTTTCCTGGTACACTCAATAAACTTATTCCTCTATAATTTTTACAATCTCTTTTGTCCCCTTTCCCTTTATATAAAGGGACTATACATGCTCTCTGCCAATCCCTAGGTACCTTCCCCTCTTTCATACATTTATTAAACAAAAGTACCAACCACTCCAACACTATATATATACATATATATTTATATATGTATCATCAGAGAGGAATTTTTATATACCATAGGATTAGTTAAAAAAATGTTGAGAGTGGAAAGGTATATGTAATTTTCACATAGTATTATTAAACCTCTGAAATAAACATAAGATTGTTTGATGAGTTGAAAGTCTATTATGTGAAGTGTCATTTGAATTGTAAATAAATTAACTAAATGAGTAAATAAATAAATTTATTTCCACATAGTATGTATTTTTTTTAAATTAAATGGTATTTAATAGTACAAGTGGGAAGCCCCAGGTCATGTAGAGCATTGCAGGCAAGTTTAAACTTAACCTAAGACTAATAGAACATAACAAGTGCTAAACAAACTAAAGTAGAACCTCAGTATGCGACCTTAATTCATTCCAGAAGGCTGTTCGAGTGCCGCTCCGTTTGAGTATTGAACAAGTTCTTCCCAACCAATTTTGTGTGGTTGGCTGCTATCACTAATCTTCGTAGGCCCTATAGTGACTTATTTATACAAGTAATACAGAAAAACACCAAAAAATGCGAAGGAACACGAAATAGTTTACAGTGAAGTTCTAGCAGGTCGTATTTGTTTGGTCAAGTGCTGAGCTTTGTTCAAGTAGGGAGCTGGTCGTATACCGAGGTTCCACTGTATGTTGGTCATTCTTCTTATTGCTTTAATATTAACCCTTAAATGGTCCAAACGTATATATACGTTTTTTCAACATCTGAAAGTATGTAAAAAAATGTAGATCTTCTTTTTTGTTTTACATTTGAAAACGTGTAAAAAAACTTTTATCTACATTTTTTTTTGTTATATTTGAAAATATGTAAAAAAAAAAGTAAATCTACCTTTGTAGCAATACGAATTTGAACGTCGATCTGTTTGGACCGTTTAAGGGTTAAGTACTTTTGTTTTGGTCTAAACCGACATTGACGAGGAGTAAGTATAGTGTGCTTGATTTAAGTATGTGTGCATGTACAGTTGCTTGTGAATTAATTTTTCAAATGTTTTTGAAGGTTAGAAGGTTAGACATTGGTCTGTAATTATTAACATCAGTTAAATCACCATCTTTGTGGATGGGTGTTATTCTGGCCCACTTCAGATCATCTGGAAGTGATTTGAAAATTATTGCAATAGCTGCAGATAACACTTGTCCAGCTTTTTTTGTAGATTGTTATGGGCATTTTAATTTGCTTTACTGTTGGTATTTTAAGTGAGTGTTACTGAAACTGTTTTTACAGGGGTGGGAAGAATCAAGTGTTCAGAGCCTATTGATGTTGGTTTCAGCTATAGTAATATTTGCAAGATTAATTCCTACTGTAGCAAAAACTTGTTAAATTTGTTCACATTATCAGTGGTCAAGAGAAGGGAAAAATTCATTTATTTTAGAGAGGGTTATTTGTTTGTTTCTTGAAAAAAAATTTTAGATATTAAAATTTGAGCATTCTTCAAGTTTGCTTAATATTTCCTTTCAAATTACTGTATTAAATTTAGTGGAACAGTAGTTTTATTTGGCTTATTTTGATAATGTTTGTGAGGGTTGCAGAGTATCTCTTTTCTGTTTCCTTAGCAATGAACCCTAATCTGTACTTCTCATTATCATGTTTTCTTTCATATAATTTGATCAAACCTTTAGTGAGCTATAGGTTATTTTACCTTTTTGCTGTCATTTGTTTTATCTTTTGTGGGCACTGTATATCATAGTGATGTTTAGTAATATAGAAAAACCTTTCTACTCTGGAATTTGCATCCTGATTAATACTCATCTTCCTTTCCTTGTCTGGTTCAAGTGGGCTTTTTGTGATGTTAGTTATGTCTCTGCACTCTTGGCAGGATAACTAGTGAGTAATTAAAGTACATTGGACCCCCGACATTCGATGGCATCGACATTCGATAAATCTGACATTCGATGCATTTTAATGCAAAAATTTGGCCTCGACATTCGATGGAAAACCCAACATTCGATACGATTCGTACGAGACTTGTCCACGTGTGGCCTGAACTGCCCCATGTGTGCCAGTGTTTACAAGCCAGCCAGTGTGCGCGCATCTAAGGATACATTCGGTACATTCCATATTATCCATATTATCACTGTTTTTGGTGCTTGTTTCTGCAAAATAAGTAACCATGGTCCCCAAGAAAGCTGCTAGTGCCAACCCTTCGAGAAAAAAGGTGCTAATGACTATTGAAATAAAGAAAGAGATAATTGCAAAGTATGAAAGTGGAGTGCGTGTGTCGGAGTGCATGATGATTTAGTAAAGAAATTGCCTGCAACTAGTGGTGATGTGAGTGAATTTAAGGCCAGCAAAGGTTGGTTTGAAAGATTTAAGAATCGTAGTGGCATACACAGTGTGGTAAAGGCATGGTGAGGCTGCCAGTTCAAGTCCTAATGGAAGGGGATTCCCCTTCTAAACACTAACACCATCCACATTCTCCCCTCCTCCCATCCCATCAATCATCACCAGATCTTCATTAAAGGTAAGTGTCAATTATTCTATTGTTATTAATTTATTATTATTGTTGTTATTGTAATTATTCTATTGCATTAAACTTAATATTTCATGTGGTAAAAATTTTTTTTCATACTTTTGGTTGTCTTGCACGGATTAATTTGATTTCCATTAGTTCTCATGGGGAAAATTAATTCAACTTTCGATATTTTCGACATTTGATGAGCTCTCAGGAACGGATTAATATCGAATGTTGGGGGTCCACTGTATGTCCTTCTTTGGGTAGCCTTACTATGGCAGAAGAAGCCAGTGTAAAAAAAAAAAAATGGTGCAGAATTGTAATGAAGAGTTGGATAATAAAGAACAGATCTTACACTAATAGAAGAATGATGAAAGGTATTTGGTGCACATCTTTTCAAAGGACATGTAGTCATTTGTCATAATGATGTGATGCGTGTTTATCTGAGTGTTTATTTTCAGCGTTTACGAGATTTGATGTGTGACCACTTGATGGAGGAGGCTCTGTTAGACTTAGAGGAGCAGTTCAATGCCCTCTTGACTACACGATGGCTTACCAACACTGAACCTATGGACACCATTTGTCTCACACTTTCTGACTACTTTAATGATTACTCTCATCTACATCAAAAGTAAGATTTCAGCTAATACCAGACATTGATTTCTCTTCTACGTAATATCTTCGATAATTTCTTTTATTTCATGCCCTAGCAAAAGTTTATTTATGACTAAATATCTAGCAATAGTACAACTCATTTCGTTTAATTTTTCCACAGAAGGTCAATCCTTTGTTGTAGATGTTATACGTACTTTGGACAAGTGTGGTTTTTATGTGGGGATATTGCATATTGAAGGGTTATTTGAGTTGTGATGTCTTTGCATTTCTGACAAAGCATATATTAAATGAGTGATGGTGATTTTTTTTTTTTTTTTTTGGGGGGGGGGGGGGTGTGTTATCCTTCCTTGGTGGGAAACAGCCAGTACATAGAAAAAAATTGATAAAATCTTGTTAAAGTTTGTCCTTGGTAAAACAATACAATAAAGCATGAGTAACATTTTTTTGCTGCTGCTGCTGCTGCTGCTGCTGCTGCTGCGCTGCTGCTGCTGCTGCTGCTGCTGGCTGCTGCCCCGCTGCTGCTGCTGCTGCTGCTGCTGCTGCTGCTGCTGCTGCTGCTGCTGCTGCTGCTGCTGCTGCTGCTGCTGCTGCTGCTGCTGCTGCTGCTGCTGCTGCTGCTGCTGCTGCTGCAGCTGCTGCTGCTGGCTCTGCTGCTGCTGCTGGCTGGCTGCTGCTGCTGCTCTGCTGCTGCTGCTGCTGCACTGCTGCTGCTGCTGCTGCTGCTGCTGCTGCTGCAGCTGCTGCTGCTCTGCTGCTGCTGCTGTCTGCTGCTGCTTGGGTGCTGCTGTGCTGCTGCTGCTGCTGCTGCTGCTGCTGCTGCTGCTGCTGCTGCTGCTGCTGCTGCTGCTGCTGCTGCTGCTGCTGCTGCTGCTGCTGCTGCTGCTGCTGCTGCTGCTGCGCTGCTGCTGCTGCTGCTGCTGCTGCTGCTGCTGCTGCTGCTGCTGCTGCTGCTGCTGCTGCTGCTGCTGCTGCTGCTGCTGGTGCTGCTGCTGCTGCGGGTGCTGCTGCTGCTGCTGCTGCTGCTGCTGCTGCTGCTGCTGCTGCTGCTGCTGCTGCTGCTGGTGCTGCTGCTGCTGCTGCTGCTGCTGCTGCTGCTGCTGCTGCTGCTGCGCTGCTGCTGCGCTCTGCTGTGCTGCTGCTGCTGCTGCTGCTGCGCTTTGCTGCTGCTGCTCTGCTGCTGCTGCGCTGCTGCTGTGCTGCTGCTCTGCTGCTGCTGCTGCTGCTGCTGCGCTGCTGGCTGCTGCTGCTGCTGGGAGCTGCTGCTGCTGCTGCTGCTGCTGCTGCTGCTGCTGCTGCTGCTGCTGCTGCTGCTGCTGCTGCTGCTGCTGCTGCTGCTGCTGCTGCTGCTGCTGCTGCTGCGCTGCTGCTGCTGCCTGCTGCTGCGCTGCTGCTGCTGCTGCTGCTGCTGCTGCTGCTGCTGCTGCTGCTGCTGCTGCTGCTGCTGCTGCTGCTGCTGCTGCTGCTGCTGCTGCTGCTGGTGGTGGTGGTGGTGGTCCTGAATAATGGTGAATGCATCCTCTTTATAATCAACCCTTGGTGGAGGTGGTTGTATGGGAAAAAATCATTACTTGTACTTCACTGTTAAGTAATGAATACTTACCAGTATTGTGTCTTATCAGTTATTGCATATTCTTACTGAATTTCTTTCTTTGATCTCTATATGCATCTGTAGGAATATCCTTTATTTTAACCTAATTATATTACTATGTACTGTATTACATTTTTATGCAATACCATGCATTCTTGCCAGAATAAAATTAATCCTGGGGAATTGAGGAGACTTCTATTCCTTCCATTCACTTGAAATAAAAAAGAATTGCTGTAACAAGTCAAATGTAAAAAAGCTACTTCTGAGGATGAATATAATTTCTGTAGCCTTACAGTACTGAAATTTCTTGTGCATAGTAATGTATTATGAAGAATATCCATACAACATAATTTTTTTTTACACGTCGGCTGTTTCCCACCGAGGCAGGGTGACCCAAAAAGAAAGAAGAACCCAAAGAGAAAGAAAAAACTTTCATCATCGTTCAACACTTTCACCATCATTCATACAAAATCACTGTCTTTGCAGAGGCACTCAGATATAACAGTTTAGATGTCACTTCAGACAGCCAATATCCCAAACCCCTCCTTTATAGTGCAGGCATTGTACTTCCCACGTACAGGACTCAAGTCTGGCTAACTGGTATCCCTGAATCCTTTCACAAAATATTACCCTGCTTACACCAACAGCTCATCAGGTGGTCCCAAAAACCATTCATCTCCATTCACTCCTATTTAACATACTTACATTATCAAACAAAAGGAAAAATAGAAATTATTGGTGAATGCGTAGGTTAGTTGAAATATTATTACAAAGAAAACACTAAACTTGTATGGATCGACAGCTGTTGTTATAATATTCACTACAGTGAAAAGCTCTGTTCCACAAAGCACAGTACTCCCCCCATCCTGTTCCTCATCCTCATATCTGGCATAGACTGGGACATAAGCCACAGCACCAAGCCTTCCTTTGCGGATGACACCCAAATTTGCATGACAGTGTCCTTCATCGAAGACACTGCAAGACTCCAAGTGGACATCAACCAAATCTTTAAATGGGCTATAGAAAACAATATGAAGTTCAGTGAAGAGAAATTTCAGTTACTTTGATATGGAAAACTTGGGAAAATAAAACTACATCAGAGTATAAAATAAATTTCAACCACACAATAGAGCAGAAAATTAATGTGAAGGACCTGGGAGTGATAATGTCAGAGGATCTCACGTTCAAAAATCACAACAATGTATCTACCACATCTAGAATGTTAAGATGGATAATGAGAACCTTCAAAACTAGAGATGCCAAACCCATGATGTTTCTCGTCAAATTGCTTGTTTTCTTTCTTGGCTGGAATATTGCTGTACACTAACAGTGTCTTTTAAGGCAGCTGAAATTGCTGACCTGGAGAATGTGCAAAGCACATTCAAGGCACACACAAATACGATATAACACCTAAATTACAGTTGAAGTTCCTTGACTTGTATTCCCTGAAATGCAGGTGATATACACTTGGAAAATACTAGAGGGATCAGTACTAAATTTGCACATGAAAATCACTCCCTATGAGAGCAAAAGACTTGGCTGGTGATGTAATAACCCCCCCCCCCAGTGAAAAGCATGGGGTGCTACTAGTACGCTAAGAGACAACACAGTAAGTGTCAGGGGCCCACGACTGCTCAACTGCCTCCCAGCATACATATGGAGGATTTCCAATAGACCCTGGCTGTCTTCAAGAAGGCGCTGGGCAGGCATCTAAAGTCCCATTTCCCGTAACTCGATTGTTAGCTCACTAGGCTCACATGCTGAAGTCTGGGGTTCAATTCCCTGGTATGGCAGGAAACACCAGGACGTGTTTCTTCAAGGCTCCTGCTGTTCATGTTAACCCATCATTAAAATGAGTACCTGGGTGATAGTCTACTGGTGTGGGTCTCTTCCTGGGGACAAAATTGACCTAATTTTCCCAGTTTGCTCTACATAACAGGGGGCTTGGTTATGATGAATTCTTGGCAGGTGAGTATAAATATCTCAGGGATGCTTATGCTGCTTTAAAATAACCAACATGCATCAGCCAACTCACAACTCTCTCAGGGAGTGTTTCAGCATTGACTGCCATCCCTGCACAGGACAGGTTGCTGCATCTGTTACCCCCATCTCTCATAAGGCCAACATGAACATGGTGGGCATTACTATTAAGACCCTAAATGAGATCACCAGATCTCATAGAACCAATAACACCTCTACTGTCTTTAATGTGAGAGAGTTAGTTTAATATTTTTATTATGCACCCCATACCCATCCTGTGGGCGGTAGTCAAAAGATTACAGAGGTACGTAATGGGTCCAGGGACTGGACCCCAAAGTTTTGATAGCTGAATAAGTTACAAAGGTAATGAACTCCAGGTAAATCTGGTCACAATCATGACCAAGCTACAAAGGTAATGAACTCTAGGTAGATCTGATCATGTGAGAGATGCAACAATATTCACATTGGGTAGATGGCATGAGCTTCAAACTTCAGGATGTCCTGGACCATTGTTAACCCTTTGACTGTTTTTGGTCGTATATACGTATACTGTACGTCTTATGAGCCAGTGTTTCAGACGTATATATACTCAATAATTCTAGCGGCTTCAAATCAAGCAGGAGAAAGCTGGTAGGCCCACATGTGAGAGAATGGGTCTGTGTGGTCAGTGTGCACCATATAAAAAAAATCCTGCAGCACGCAGTGCATAAGGAGAAAAAAAAAACTGACCGTTTTTTTGTAATTAAACACCGACTTTGAGGTGTATTTTGGTATAGTATTTATCATTGTATTCTCATTTTCATGGTCTCATGTGATAAAATGGAAAACATATTACAGAAATAGAGATGATTTTGGTAAGTTTCACAATGAAAATGACCTTGAAATTGAGCTCAAAGTAGCAGAAATGTTCGATTTTTACCAATGTTCAAGAGTAAGCAAATCACACCACACGTCCAATAAACGTCAACTGGGGAGTCTAATATTCTTTCACTAGTGCACTGATATTATTTATACCATTTTTACAATACTGCAGTAGTCTGCGTAACAGTAAATCTTCTATTTTTTGTATGAATAAAAAATCAAAATAGAAAGCAATAGTAATATAAGAGGGGCCTAGAGACATGGCTGATGAACAGAGGGTATGTTATTTTAGTGCCAAGAATGTCTACATTGTTTATTCTGGATCCTATTTTGAAATTGGCATCTTTTTTAATTTGCTTGAAATTGGCCAAATTGCCAATTTCTGACCACTTTATTGGGTAGTTCAAATCAGTAAATGGGTGGTTTCCTGTACTCAAGTGATAGGAAAAATGGAGTTCTAAAGAAATAGCTATGAGTTTGGTCAACTGAAACAAAGGAATTGGCCGAAGGGCTCAAAGTCGGCGAAATCGCTGATGCGTATATGTCGCCGAGACCGCTAACTTCGCGGGACCGTAATTCCGTGAGTTTTCAACCAAATTTCGTACTTTTGGTGTCATTACCATCGGGAAAAGATTCTCTATCATTTCACAAGAAAAAATAATTTTTTTTTTCAAAAAATTTTTCGACATAGAATGACAGTTTCAGAAAGGGGCTTGCGACAGTCAAAGGGTTAAATCACAACTGAAAAAGGCAGAACCACTATTCTCTCTCGTTTTCTCTTCCCATTTTCTACTTCACTTGTGATTTCACAATGTCCAGGACAGATCAAAACATCATCCTAAAGTTTCTCTCCTAAGTGTGGATTTTTGGTGAGTCAAGTAAAATTGTGATTTTATTATGAAAAATAGTAGCGGGTATTTTTCATTGATGTCACACTGGTGTTTTATACCGAGTCACATTCATACTGGTGTTTTATACTAGTGTCACATTTACACTGGTCTTTTATTTCACACTGATGTTTCATGCTAGTGTCACACTAGTGTTAAATAATCATTCCTTCATGCAGCCTTCTTAAATGTGTTTGTTCCTGTCTTGCTCTCCAGAACAATAATATAGTGAATTTTTACAGCAATGTGCATATATAGTGGATCCTCAGTTATCAGCTGTAATCGTTTCAAGAAGCTCGGCCTTAAACCGAAATGGCCAAAAACTGCAATAATATTCCCTATAAGAATTAATGTTGTGACAGTTAATCTGTTCCAGACAAAAATGTTCACCAAAAAATAATTTTTTTAATTAAATCATTATTACATACCTTTATTGAAGACTAATGCTGGCTTCTGGAATGCCTGCTACATTTCCTGCATGCCTGCTACACTCCCAGCATGCCTGCTACACTCCCTGCATGCCTGTTAGACTTCCGGCATGCCTGTTAGACTTCCTGCATGCCTGCTACACTTCCTGCATGCCTGCTACACTTCCTGCATGTCTGCTACACTCCCAGCATGCCTGTTACACTTCCTGCATGCCTGTTACACTTTCTGCATGTCTGCTACACTCCCAGCATGCCTGTTACACTCCCTGTATGCCTGTTACACTCCCTGCATGCCTGTTACACTCCTTGCATGCCTGTTACACTTCCTGCATGCCTGCTACACTCCCTGCATGCCTGTTACACTCACTGCATGCCTGCTACACTCCCTGCATGCGTGTTACACTCCCTGCATGCCTGCTACACTCCCTGCATGCCTGCTACACTCTCTGCATGCCTGCTACACTTCACACTTAAATTCCATGGTGTTTCTCATTTTCTTTACCACAGGAACTTTACTAGGAACTTTCTTTGGAGCCATAGTTATTTATTTCGCAGTTGCACTGCAAAAAATCCACAAAAAACAATGGAAAACAAGCGAAATGTTTGGATGTATGAGCAGAAGCTTCCTCACGCACTGAAAGACACAGCCAAACTGACGCGCAAGTGGCCCCAGCCGGCGGACGGACGCATCCGAAACGGCTAATCACTGGGAGCCGAAAAACCGGCTGATCACCGAGTTGGCCGATAACAGGAACAGCCGATAATCGAGGGTCCACTGTAGTAATTAATAATTCCGGAATATATGAGGCCTTGCATATACTAAGGGCAAAAGCTACATCTTAACCATGATGCAAATGTCTATAAATAATACAGTATTTATGGATGTAGTAATTACAGTATTTTTAGTTTGAAAAAATATTGTTTTAGTTTTACTTGCATAGTGTTTTAAGGCATTTTTTACTAAGGTGAAGATGTTGGGTTTGATCTTACAATAAATTGATTTTTTCCTGTACAATGGTACCTCGAATTTTGAACAGCTCCCAACTCGTACAATTATGTAAATGTAATTTTGTAAGTGCTTTTGTAAGTTTATTTTTGGGGGTCTGAAACGGACTAATCTAATTTACATTATTCCTTATGGGAACAAATTCATTCGGTAATGGCACTCGAACAGCCTTCTGGAACGAATTATGGCCGAAATTTGAGGTACCACTGCATTTCTAATAAGACATTCCTGACCATTTACTTATCTAATAAGATGTTCCTTGCAGGAACTTTGACCATGTAGTGCAACTAGCACTGAATACAGTTGCGATGCGCTACACTTCTGCCATCTTGGGGAAACGACTAACGCCTAAAACGCAAGAAGACCGAAAGTTGGTAGCTGACCGTATAACTGCTGTGAGTCTTTTCTGTGGGCAACAAGGGAATTATAGTAAAATAAGTTACTTTCATTTAATGAGTTGTATTATAAATTACTATTGATGTTACATTGTTAAAGGTTTTATGCTTTCATATTTTTAAAGGCTGAACTATGTATTAGTAAATAAAAGAATAATGGGTAGACTTTTGGATGTGCTTGTTTTTAGATGGGTGACAGATATATTTGATTATTATTGTGTTGTAGCTACAGTGAGAATAAGAGGTAGATGGGGTGGGTACAAGGAGAATGTCATCAGTAGGTAAGAGAGAAGTGTAGGTTTATAAAGTAAAGGAGGAGATAGGGTAAGATGTCAACAACAGTTATTAGGAGAAAGGTAGGGCTAGAGAGAGTGCAGGTAATGAGGAAGTGTGTGGTAGATTTAAGATGGAAGGAATACAGTATTTTGAAGAAGTTGTAAGTGGTCCAAGTTGGACTGAAACATTGTCGTATGCTCTTTCCTATATGCGGGTTATTTGTGAAGTGTTGAATGTTAATGAAGAGAGGGAGCAGTGATTTCTTGCAGTGGACACCTTTTAAAAGTGAGGAAGACCAGAAGCTAGGGTGGGGTAGATGTGTGAGGAAGTGAGTAGAATGAGAGGGAACAACAGCTGGGGTAGATGGGATTAAGACAAATACCAAGAGTAGGTGGGGATATAATTTTGGAGTGGTTGGTGCATTTGCTGAATATATGCATGAAAGGGGAAAAGGTACCTGGGGATCAGTGTAGAGCATGGATAATTCTTTTGTATGAAGGAAAAAGGGAAAAAAGAGAGTAGAGAAATAAACCTTTTAAGTATACCAGGTAGAGTGGATGGTAGAGTTATTATTGAAAGAATTATGGGTAAATCAGACAGGACTGCAGAGGAATAAGTTCTCAGGAAGGGTTGAGGATATGTAGATCAAGGTGGGTAGTGCACTGAGGCATTTGTAGAGACACAGAACTTCATCCATGGAGACAAAAATGGAAATGTACCAGAGTATAGTGGTACAGGTTGGCCATCACTAATCCAGCAATCAGTAATCCAGTTCCATGAGTAATCCAGCACTAATTTTGGCTAGCATAATTTCAAATTTTCAGGGTCGCCACACCAACCTGCCGCTACTGTTTGGTGGTGCTACTTGCTATATAAGTCATTCTAATTTCTTTTTTTCATTTATTGTTATAGCCTGCTCACTTTTAGCCCTATCTATAGTTCCAATGAACAAAAGAAATGCTTCTTGTTACATAAAGCACATACACCGTACATTGTCCATAAAAGATAAGGTGGCTTTGAAGCCACTGTTGGTTGCTATGAGCTCAGCTCACTGAAATAAGCTGTGATTGGGTAAATTTGGGCCTACATATGAGAGAATAGGTCTATGTGGTAAGTGTGTACTATATTAAAATATCCTGCAGCACGCATTGCATAACGAGAAAAAACTGCGACTGTGTTTTTGGTGTAAAACAGCGACTTTGCAGTGTATTTTCGTATGGCTTTTATGGTTGTATTCTCATTTTTTTGGTGTCATTTGATAGAATGGAAGATACGTTTCAGAAATACATGCGATTTTGATTGGTTTCACAATGAAAAGTACCTTGAAATTGAGCTCAGAGTAGCAGAAATGTTCGATTTTTGCTGATGTTCAAGAGTAAACAAATGATGTCACCATCCAATACATGTCCAACTGGCCAGTCTAATATGCAGTCATGAATGGGTTGACATTATTTATACAATTATTACAATAATGCAGTAGTTTACATAACAGTAAATCTTGTTTTTTGTGTGAATAAAAATTCAAAATGGAAAGCAAGTGTAATATAAGAGGGACCTGGAGATGTGACTAATAAACAGAGAAAATGTTATTTTAGTGCCAGGAATGTCTGCATTGTTTATTCTGGACCCTATTTTGAAATTGGCATCTCTTGAAATTTGTGTGAAATTGGTCAAATTACCAATTTCTAACCACTTTATTGGGTAGTTGAAATAGGTAAATGGGTGGTTTCCTGTAGAAGGAATACTAGCAAAAACTATGAGTTTGGCAGACTGGAAAAATGGAATGGGCCAAAAGTATGGCATAAAGTGCGTGAAATTGCTGATGCGTAAATATTGCTGTTGGGTTCAGTGTATTACAATCTAACCACTCTGTAATTCAGCAAAAATCAGTAAACTGGCACCCTACAGGTCCCGATGGTACCGGATTAGTGATGGTCAACCTGTACCAACACTGTTGTATGGATGTGGAGCATAGGCTTTGAATTTAGAATGTTGCAGGGAGGAGGAGGCTGAAGGCAGTAGAGATGTTGTGTTTCAGGGTAATGTGTGGTGTGAATATTATGCAGAGAATTCTTAGTTTGGTGGGCTGAGGAGAGGATGGAGAAAAATAGGATCAGGAGGGTGTATAAATTTGGGGTGGAGGAAAGGAAGAGTAGGGGTTTTGAGTGTTAGGGCATGGATATCTAATAGACTAATGTGAGCATATTAGATATGAGTTAGTAGATTATTATTATTATTATAATAAAAAAGAAGCGCTAAGCCACAAGGGCTATACAGCTATGAGTTAGTAGAGGCAAGTGGTTTTTATGATTTAACATGTTGTCGGAGTGTGAACAAGGTAACATTTATGAAGGGATTCAGGGAAATCAGTTAGCTAGACCTAGAGTCCTGGAAGTGGGAGACACAGTGCCTGCATTCTGAAGGGGGGATGGGGATGTTGTGGTGTGGAGGTCATCTGAATATGTTGGTGCCCTTCAAGCAAGACAGCAATTGAATGAGTGATAGTGAAAGTGTTTTCCCTCTTTGTTGGGTCACCCTTCCTTGGTGGGAGACTGCTAGTTTTAAATTTTTTTTTGTGCTGAATGAATTCATATAAAAAATTCATCTATCTTTTTTGCAAGGTTGAACAGTATTTAGTATTGTATTTTGAGGGGTAATTACTGCTGACGAATTTAATGCCTTAATTTATTTTTTTTAACACTTCGGTTGTTTCCCACCAAGGCAAAGTGACCCTAGTGGGTCACTGCCTCGGTGAAGTGAGAATTGGAGAAGTGAGTATTGTAACATTTATGAAGGACTTCAGGGAAATGTATTAGCTAGAAGAGTTGTGGAGGTAGGTAGTACAGTTCTTGCACTATGGAGGAGGGGTGGGAATATTGCAGATCACAGGGCTGTTTGAACAATGTTGTCTGTACATTTCTGGCCAGATAGCTACTGAATGAATGATAGTGAATGTGTTTTTCTTCTTTGGGCTAGCCTACCTTGGTGGGAAATGGCTGATGTGGTAAACAAAATGGGAGATATTTTATGGGTGTTTAAATGCAGCCCTGCATAGAGATAAATTCTGTTTTTGTAGGTTATAAATAAAGATGGTTATAAATAAGGTAGTAGGTTGGTAGACAGCAACCACCCAGGGAGGTACTACCGTCCTGCCAAGTGAGTGTAAAACAAAAGCCTGTAATTGTTTTACATGATGGTAGGATTGCTGGTGTCTTTTGTCTGTCTCATAAATATGCAAGATTACAGGTACGTCTTGCTACTTCTACTTACACTTAGGTCACACTACACATACATGTACACGTTTATTTATACACACTCATCTGAGTGTTGTAAAAGTCAACTAAAATGCCGGGAACAATGGGCTAGTAACCCCTTTTCCTGTAAAGATTACTAAAAAGAATAAGAAGAAGAAAATTGTCAAAGTGGGAAGTCTGAATGTGCATGGATGTTGTGCAAATGATAAGAAAGAGATGATTGTGGATGTTATGAATGAGAAGAAACTGGATGTCCTGGCTTTAAGTGAAACAAAGCTGAAGGGGGTGGGAGAGTTTCAATGGAGAGGAATAAATGGGATTAGGTCAGGGGTTTCAAATAGAGTTAGAGCTAAAGAAGGAGTAGCAATAATGTTGAAGGATAAGCTATGGCAGGAAAAGAGGGACTACAAATGCATAAATTCAAGGATTATGTGGAGTATAATAAAGATTGGATGTGAAAAGTGGGTTATAGTAAGCGTGTATGCACCTGGAGAAGAGAGAAGTGTAAAGGAGAAAGAGAGATTCTGGGAAATGTTGAGTGAATGCGTGAGGAGTTTTGAATCAAGTGTGAGAGCAATGGTGGTTGGGGATTTCAATGCTAAAGTGGGTAAAAATGTTATGGAGGGAGTAGTAGGTAAATTTGGGGTGCCAGGGGTAAATATAAATGGGGAGCCTTTAATTGAGCTATGTGTAGAAAGAAATTTGGTAATAAGTAATACATATTTTATGAAAAAGAGGATAAATAAATTACAAGGTATGATGTAGCACGTAATGAAAGTAGTTTGTTAGATTATGTATTGGTGGATAAAAGGTTGATGGGTAGGCTCCAGGATGTACATGTTTATAGAGGGGTAACTGATATGTCAGATCATTATTTAGTTGTAGCTACAGTTAGAGTAAGAGGTAGATGGGAAAAGAGGAAGGTGGCAACAACAAGTAAGAGGGAGGTGAAAGTGTATGAACTAAGGGAGGAGGAAGTTCAGGCGAGATATAAGCGACTATTGGCAGAAAGGTGGGCTAGTGCAAAGATGAGTAGTGGGGGGGGTTGAAGAGGGTTGGAATAGTTTTAAAATTGCAGTATTAGAATGTGGGGCAGAAGTTTGTGGTTATAGGAGGGTGGGGGCAGGAGGAAACAGGAGTGATTGGTGGAATGATGAAGTAAAGGGTGTGATAAAAGAGAAAAAGTTAGCTTATGAGAGGTTTTTACAAAGCAGAAGTGTTATAAGAAGAGCAGAGTATATGGAGAGTAAAAGAAAGGTGAAGAGAGTGGTGAGACAGTGCAAAAGGAGAGCAGATGAAAGAGTGGAAGAGGCACTGTCAAGAAATTTTAATGAAAATAAGAAAAAAATTTGGAGTGAATTAAACAAGTTAAGAAAGCCTAGGGAAAGTATGGATTTGTCCATTAAAAACAGAGTAGGGGAGTTAGTAGATGGGGAGAGGGAGGTATTAGGTAGATGGCGAGAATATTTTGAGGAACTTTTAAATGTTGAGGAAGAAAGGGAGGCGGTAATTTCATGCACTGGCCAGGGAGGTATACCATCTTTTAAGAGTGAAGAAGAGCGAAATGTAAGTGTGGTGGAGGTACGTGAGGCATTACGTAGAATGAAAGGGGGTAAAGCAGCTGGAACTGATGGGATCATGACAGAAATGTTAAAAGCAGGGGGGGATATAGTGTTGGAGTGGTTGGTACTTTTGTTTAATAAATGTATGAAAGAGGGGAAGGTACCTAGGGATTGGCAGAGAGCATGTATAGTCCCTTTATATAAAGGGAAAGGGGACAAAAGAGATTGTAAAAATTATAGAGGAATAAGTTTACTGAGTATACCAGGAAAAGTATACGGTAGAGTTATAATTGAAAGAATTAGAGGTAAGACAGAATGTAGAATTGCGGATGAGCAAGGAGGCTTCAGAGTGGGTAGGGGATGTGTAGATCAAGTGTTTACATTGAAGCATATATGTGAACAGTATTTAGATAAAGGTAGGGAAGTTTTTATTGCATTTATGGATTTAGAAAAGGCATATGATAGAGTGGATAGAGGAGCAATGTGGCAGATGTTGCAAGTTTATGGAATAGGTGGTAAGTTACTAAATGCTGTAAAGAGCTTTTATGAGGATAGTGAGGCTCAGGTTAGGGTGTGTAGAAGAGAGGGAGAATACTTCCCGGTAAAAGTAGGTCTTAGACAGGGATGTGTAATGTCACCATGGTTGTTTAATATATTTATAGATGGGGTTGTAAAAGAAGTAAATGCTAGGGTGTTCGGGAGAGGGGTGGGATTAAATTATGGGGAATCAAATTCAAATGGGAATTGACACAGTTACTTTTTGCAGATGATACTGTGCTTATGGGAGATTCTAAAGAAAAATTGCAAAGGTTAGTGGATGAGTTTGAGAATGTGTGTAAAGGTAGAAAGTTGAAAGTGAACATAGAAAAGAGTAAGGTGATGAGGGTATCAAACGATTTAGATAAAGAAAAATTGGATATCAAATTGGGGAGGAGGAGTATGGAAGAAGTGAATGTTTTCAGATACTTGGGAGTTGACGTGTCGGCGGATGGATTTATGAAGGATGAGGTTAATCATAGAATTGATGAGGGAAAAAAGGTGAGTGGTGCATTGAGGTATATGTGGAGTCAAAAAACGTTTTTCTATGGAGGCAAAGAAGGGAATGTATGAAGTATAGTAGTACCAACACTCTTATATGGATGTGAAGCTTGGGTGGTAAATGCGCAGCGAGGAGACGGTTGGAGGCAGTGGAGATGTCCTGTCTAAGGGCAATGTGTGGTGTAAATATTATGCAGAAAATTCGGAGTGTGGAAATTAGGAGAAGGTGTGGAGTTTATAAAAGCATTAGTCAGAGGGCAGAAGAGGGGTTGTTGAGGTGGTTTGGTCATTTAGAGAGAATGGATCAAAGTAGAATGACATGGAAAGCATATAAATCTATAGGGGAAGGAAAGAGGGGTAGGGGTCGTCCTCGAAAGGGTTGGAAAGAGGGGGTAAAGGAGGTTTTGTGGGCAAGGGGCTTGGACTTCCAGCAAGCGTGCATGAGCGTGTTAGATAGGAGTGAATGGAGACGAATGATACTTGGGACCTGACGATCTGTTGGAGTGTCAGCAGGGTAATATTTAGTGAAGGGATTCAGGGAAACCGGTTATTTTCATATAGTCGGACTTGAGTCCTGGAAATGGGAAGTACAATGCCTGCACTTTAAAGGAGGGGTTTGGGATATTGGCAGTTTGGAGGGATATGTTGTGTATCTTTATACGTACATGCTTCTAAACTGTTGTATTCTGAGCACCTCTGCAAAAGCAGTGATAATGTGTGAGTGTGGTGAAAGTGTTGAATGATGATGAAAGTATTTTCTTTTTGGGGATTTTCTTTCTTTTTTTGGGTCACCCTGCCTCGGTGGGAGACGGCCGACTTGTTGAAAAAAAAAAAATGAAAGATGATGATTTTAAAAGCTTCAGTAATGTATTGAATAAAATTATGGATTATATATTTGACTGTTATTAAAATACTTAGAATAGTGGTTGTGTATTAAAGTGAAAACATTCCATGAAATCAATATTGCTAATGAGAGCACAACAGTGGATTAAAGTGATGGCTCTTTTTTCTTCATGCTGTGTTTTATATTTATACAGGAGGCATTAAAGCTTTCTAGTGTTTTTGAACAAGTTGCACCAGATCTTGTGAAGTTTGACTCACCATGCGAAGTGATGAAAGGATTGGCTGAAGTGATAAAAGTATCAGATGTTGAGTTCATCAGCCTGGAGTTGCATCGATTATTACGCAGGTTAGTCTTACATGCGATCATTGTCCAAGAAAATTTTTATCTTGTTGAATTGTTGTTATTATTATTGATGTACAAGATCACTAGTTTTATTCATATCTGTATTTTTTTAACACATTAGCCATCTCCTACCGAGGTAGGGTGACCCAAGAAAGAAGAAACTTTCACTACCACTAATGCCATTACTGTGTTGCCAGAGGTGCTGACATTACAGCTCAGATGCACTTCCAAACTGCAGTATCCCCCACCCCTCCTTCTATACAACTATCAGTTCATGCCCTACAGAGCATGAAGTAATAGTCATGTGCTGAACTGGTAGCCGAGACTACCATTTTAATGAAGGCTCTTTCAGTTTCCCTCAAGTGGCTTCCATTTACCTGTATTTATTCAGTGCTCGTGAGATCACTAGCAAAGTTGTTGGTCTGCACGAGGGGCCATCTAGCTGATTTTAGTCACACTACAATTATATCAACAATGTTCAAAGTATCTGGCAGGTCTCCCAGTTCATTTTGGTGAAGCTCGAGGCAAGCAACTAGTGTACGATGTATGGGTGCACATATTTTATTCATTAGTTTATTTTGTATTAACTTGTTATAGTACTGGTAGACTGTTTTCATTAATCCGACTGTATTAATGTCAGTCCTATTTGTATGACTACCATGGTTTTCAGTTATATCTAGTGTGTTGTCATAGTATTTATGATAAAAGACGATTGTAATTTCTCAGTTCAGCTAAACAAATTGAGGAAGTCAGCCTTTTAGGTGCTAGTTTAATTTCTTACCTGATTACCAAAATTAAAAAAAAAATTCTTTTCATACAATAGTAATTCTTTGGTATTTTATGCTTTGCAGATACCCAGATATGACAGGAGACCATCTTACTGCTTTGTTGATGTTACGAGGAGATCTAGGTCGCTTAGATGTGAGGCAGCGTGTGGCAGACATCATGGAGGAAATGAGAACACAACGTGCAGGACCTGCTCCAAAAAGTATTTTCTCTCACATCCATGTCTCAACATCACTGTTTACTTAAGTACATCTGAAATACTATTTCAGTTGTACTGGTTGGGGAGGTGTACAGTTGTGTATGGCTGGTGAACTGTGCACTTGTGTACGGCTAGAGATCTGTGCACAGCCTGTGAACTGTTCACCCATGTGTAGCTGATCTCTGCAACTGTGCATGGCTGGTGATCTGTGCATTTGTGTATGCTTGGTGATCTGTGCACATGTGTATGATTGGTGATACTGGTGATCTGAGCACTTGTGTCTGACTGGTGATCCTGCACTTGTATCTGACTGGTGATCCTGCACTGGTGTATGGCATCATATATACAGTTTGTATTATGTTGCCACTTCACCTCAATATTTCCTGTATATTGTATAAAATGTACCAAGCATAATCAAACAGTTTCAACAAAATGGGAAAATAATAACTTTAGAATATTAATTAGTAATGTATTTACAAAAAATAGCCATTCAAAAAAATATTATTGTATTTATGGAATTGGCACTGTATGAGACACATCTTTTAACTTTTCATAAATACTGTCAAAGCTTTATTTAATGGACAATTAAAATACTTTGTCAGGATGTTGAAAAACAGTGGACAAAATTCATTGTTTCAATTGTCTGGATTAATAGATTTTTGGAAACAACAGAAATAATCCTTTTCCAATATTTATTTTGGATGCAACAAATAAATTTGTATCCAAAACTGTTGAGTATTGTTTTGATCACAGCAATAAAATCAAGTTAAACGCTAAACCTGAAGAAGTCATAGAGTGCTGTGATCTTAGCAAAACAATCTTATTAATTGGATTTAATGGATAATTGGCATTATTTGACATCCTCTTCCTCTATTACAATAGTTTGTTAAATCAAGGTTTGGTAAATAAATTGCATTTTTTTTTTTAACATTGGCCATTTCCTACCAAGGTAAGGTGATCCAAAAATGGAAACATTCATTATCACTCATTTAACAGCTTTATTTCCAGAAGTGTGAAGATATTACAGTTCAAACAACCCTCTGAACTGCAATATTTCGACCCCTCCCTCAGTATGCAGGCACTACTTCCCACCTCCACCATCTGTTTCCCTTAATCTTTTTAGCTTGTATGGGTCATACAGCACACAGCCTATGTTTTCTTACATGATAATTTACTATATGAACTGTGATTCACCATTGCCAGCTCAGCTTGAACTTACGGTGGTGTTGAAAAGCCCTTGGATTTGGTACTATGATATATAATATAATCCAAGGAAATGCAGGATAATTCCAGTTCCTTGGATCAAGAGCCCTCTCACTAGCATCAGGGCACCTCCTTCAAGGGAATATATTAACAATAACCTCCCCCCTTCTTTGAAGGGGAGTGCATTGCTGCTGCTGATTATTATTATTATAATCAAAGGGGAAGCGCTAAACCCGTAGGATTATACAGCGCCCGGGGGGGGATGTGGAAGGCATTCAGGCTTAATTCAGGGAACTGGAGCACAGTTCCAGTTCCCTAAATCAAGAGCCCCTCACCAACATTTGCTGCTGCTGAAGGGCTCTGGATCTAGGGAATTGGTCTTCACTTCACCCTTCCTTGGTGTTATGTGACCTCTACAGGTTTAATGCTTCCCCATTATCATCATTCATTTTTTTTTCTCTGCTGTAACTGAATATCACATAGATTTAGTGCTTTCCATGAATATAATAATACAATTAAATAATGTAACTTTGTCATGAGGTGACATTGAGGTCTTTAGTGCGTTTCTCAGAAAAAAGTTGAATTTTTCCAAGAATACAGTATTAGTATAGGTATAAGAAGACAACACAAACCAGTGCTTTTTTTTTTTATATTTTTTTGTTATACAAGGTGTTGCTATATAAAACAAAATAAAATCAGTTACATAATGTACTAAATTCAGTCAAACTGGAACAGTTTTCTTTTGTAATTAATATCCTAACTTCTCATTCAGTTTAGTGCGTCCATCTCCAGACTGCTGCTCTGGTGGGATCCAGGTGTCATAATTAGGATTGTCATCATCGTAATATCTGCTTTTCTTTTCATACCTTTTTTTTGTTCCCGTAGGGCCCTGTACAAATAAAAATATATACTGTATTCCCAAATCCAGATACATATATTAAAAACAACCACCACAATGCATTATTATTATAATCAAAAAGAAGCGCTAAGCCACAAGGGCTATACAGCGCTGCAGGGTAGGGAAGGAAGCAAGGGAATTGGAGGGCAGAAGGGGGGGGGGGATGTCACAGGTTCAGAAAACAGGGGGGCGGGGATAGTAGGGGGTAGGGGTAGCAAAGAAAAAGTAAAAGGGGTAAAGTATCAAATTTGGAAGAGTCAGTCGTTGTCCAAAAAATAATGAGAGAGTCCGGGAAAGGGGGTCCATCAGCAGAAGGGAAGGTAAAGAGAGAGCAGGGGGGCGAAGAACGACAGAGGAAATTCTGCGTGCTTTGAAAAGTGGGGGGTTCCAAAAGAATTGGCTGACTGATAATGGAGCTTGGCAATTCTCACAGAGAGGGGCAACGCCTCTCCTGAATATCCATGAGAAGACATATGGCCAATGCGAAGACGGAAATAGTCCCCAACCCGCACTGGGGATAAGAAAGGCCAGTAACCATACTCGTTTAAAAGACTGAAGTTGTTGCCGACATAGTAACCAAAAGTTGTTCCACGGGTGTGAAGGGGGGAAAATTAAGCAAAAAAGTCCTACTGGAAATACCTTAAAAAACGGTAGGTCATGTACTGCTGCCGCGCGCGTTCTGCCTGTTTTATTGCCCTGACCAACATCCCGGGGCCCAAAAAAAAACAAAATTTTTTATCTTTGAAAGATGCGGCGTAGCCCAAAATTGGATACGGAGACTAAGGGGTAGGTGTATCAAATTTTTTTATACCTGTAAAGCACTAAGGGAGCTGAGACAACCACAAATGATGACACAGGCATAGATGCAATACGGATAAGTGCTGAAAAGGATGGCATATAATTCAGCAGTAAAAATACTAGCGGGAAGATAGTAAATGCCCTTGTACGACGCTGTCCGGAAACACTGCTGCGAATCCTACGCCGTCGAAGACTTAGAGCCATCTGTTACACAGCAATGGCATGAAATGAGAGTAAAAGTGGTCAAGAAAAAGAGAGCGGAAGCGACCGTAGACAGTTGGGCTTTTCGAGCAAGGGGGGGAGAAAGAACAGACTCGAACAGCTGGAAACTTCCCAGGGGGGTGGGGGAAAAAGTGAGATGCTACATGTACATAGAAAGGTGGTAGTTGAAGAGAAGACGAGCGAATGAAGGCGAGAGAGAAGGGACGGAGTAAGCAGGGGCGGCGAACAAATAAAGAATTTTCTACTAATATCAGTGACCATTCTAAAAAATGGAAGATTGCGGAGATCATGAGAGCGTACATAGTAGCGCAGGCAATGGGCATCACGGCGATCGGATAAGGATGGAACGTTCGCTTCTGCATAGAGGCTTTCGACAGGGAAGAGAGAAAAGCACCAAGCATAAACGTAATCCTTGGTGATGAATGGGGTTAAGGCTAGAGAGAGTAGCAGGAGATGCCGCTGAATAGATCTGGTCACCATAATCAAGTTTCGATAAAAAAAAGGGGTGGAATGTAAGGTAAAGGGAGGGTTCGACGATCAGCTCCCCACGAAAGATGAGAAGGGTTTTTTAAGAAGGTTCACCCGCTGTGACAAGTTGCCTTCAAGAGGTAATGTGAGGTTTCCAGGATAACCTACGATCAAAGAGGAGGCCCAGAAACTTGACTGTATCACTTCAGGGATACGTGAGCCATAGAGGTAAAAAGGGATGATCAGAGATGACAAAAGCGTCTAGTGAAAGTGATTTGTGGGTTTTAGTGCGGGAAAAATTTAAACCCATGTGTGGTGGCCCAATTGAAACACCGGTCGACTGCATGCGGAGAGAAACTGTAAGGAGGTGACAGTCAGCGCCTGACAGGAAATAGCGAAGTCATCAACATAGAGTGATGACCAAATATTTGATGGAAACTAGAGGCCAAATCATTAATAGCAAGGGAAAAAGGTTGTCCCTCAGAACACATCCCGGGGGGAACACCTTCAGCTTGGACAAAGCCCGGGGAGAGCACATTATTAACCCGAACACGGAAATGCCTGTCATAAAAAGTTCTTAAGGAAGGATGGAAATTTGCCTCGAAGGCCTAAGGAGTGGGCTTGGCTAAAATATTATACCTCCAAGTTGTGTCATATGCCTTCTCAAGGTCAAAAAATATGGCAATAACTGAGTGGTTATTCGCAAAGGCATTACGAACATACGTATCCAAGCGCATTTAAGGGGTCTATGGTAGAACGTCCCTTACGAAAGCCATATTGACGAGTGGAGAGACTGTTGTGTGTCTCTAAATACCACACTAAACGTCTTTTTACTAGACGTTCCATTACTTTGCAAACTGCACTGGTAAGAGCAATGGGACGATAGTGGGGGGTTTCATGTCCGTAGTGCCTGGTTTGCGGAAAGGGAGAACAATGGCGGATTTCCACAGCTGTGGAAGAACTCCTTGTGACCAAATAAGATGTAAAGGCGTAATAGGACTGCAAGGGCTGACTGATGTAAATGTTGTAGCATACGAATTGAATGTCGTCGGGCCCAGTTTGCCGATGATCGAAAAGCTGAGAGTGTTGCCTCCAGTTCTTGAAGTGTAAAAGGCACATTATACTGTTCTTCTCTGAGAAAAGAAAAGTCAAGGGGTGTAACTCTCTGGCAGACTTTGAGGAAAGAAATGAGGGGCATAGATGGGTCCCTGAGAAATACGGACAGATGATTGCCAATTTCATTGGCAACATCAAGTGGGTTTGGCTATATCAACACCGGCAACCCGCAGAACGGGAAAGCCGGGTCAGGAGAATATTTACCACTCAGTTTTCGTACTTTTTTTTCCAGACTGCATCATAGAGGAAGCAGAGGTGATGGTGGAGACAAAATCTCGCCAGCAAGTGCGTTTAGCTTTCACGGATGACACGGCAAAGCGATCGCACGCTTCTGTTTAAAATCAAGGATTTCGCTCTGTGGTTCTATTGTCCGGTACCGCCCCATGCAGCGCGCTTCAAACGTACTGCACGAGCACAAGCAGGAGACCCCCAAGGCACGCATTTCTGAGAATGCCTGCCCGAATTTGGGGTATAGAATGAGAAGCTGCGGTGAAAAACGGAGGACGAGAAGAGGTGTAAAAGTCATCGATGGAGGACGAAAAAGGGAAACCCTCTTTAAAAACAGTCAGGTGTGAGAAAAGGGTTTTCCAATTTGGCCCGATTAAATTGCCAGCGTGGGGTGCGAAGAGGTGGCGAATATAAAGGGGGAAGTAAGAATGTTTGGGGAAAATGATCACGTCATGTAAGTCCGGGAGAACAGACCAAGTAAAGTCCAATGCGGCGGCGAAAGAGCAAACTGAGAGATCGATGCAAGAGAGAGTATGAGTCCGAGGATCAAAATGGGTGTGAGTACCTGTATTTAAAACATGGAGGGGGTGGGGGGGCCCAAGAAAAGCCTCTAACTGATTCCACGGGAATCACATGAGACCCTCCCCAGAGGAAATGGTGGGCATTAAAATCACCAAGTAACAAAAATCGGTGGCGGAAATGACGAAACAAGGAAGGCAAAATGGAATAGATAATGCCGAGAAGGAGAGAGATATAAGAACAGAGCGTATACCACCTATGTAAGTGGAACGGGCTGCTGTTTTAATGCAGCGAAGTATGAATAAATAGCTGATGGTACGAATATCAGTGCGGAGAAGAAGGGCACTTTCATTAAAGGTCCATCAGAAAAGGATCTGAAGAATACAATAAATTATAGCCTGAGATGTGAGAAATAAAGCAGAGTGTAATTTTGGTTCCTGTAAGCAAACACCAACAGGGGCAAACTGGGAGAGTAACATCTGAAGCTCACCCCGATTACCCTGAGGCCGAGTATATTCCACTGTAAAAAGGCCATGATTGGCAATGATAAAGATACTTGAAATCCCAGGAAAGGGGTTTCCCTACGGACTAGAAGGGTTAGAAAAGTCCACATGCGGAGGCAGTGGAAAATGTTCAAGCAGCGAAGGAACGGTGCGCTGTGAAGAAAGGAGTTGCGCAGATGGGGCAGAGGAGAGAGAAAGAGCGGAAGGTGGATCAGTGTCCATTGATGGTTTGGTCTCTGCAATATATTCAGAGATTTCTTCAAGTGTTTCGGAATTCAGAGATGTCTATGGGAGACAATATTGGGAATGGTAGGGGGAGGATAGTAAAGATTGGAACTGTATTGGACTGTTTCCAGGTAGGGGGGGCGAAAGGGTGGAGGGAACTGGAGAAGCGTGGCAGGGGGCAGAAGAGACAGGAACCTGGGGGGTGGCAGAAGAGTAAGAAAATTGGGGGGGAACAGGGGGGGAAGGTCATTACGAGGAGGAGGGGTGAACCCCTGCACTTGTAACTGAGCCATGAAGGGGAAGAACTAGGGACAGAGACAGGGAGGGGAAAATGAGGAGGTGGAAGATGGGTAGGAGGTGTTACCGGACCTTTTTGACTTTTGAGAAGTAGAGGGACGATTGGGAAGAGGTGTCGTACGAGGTCTCGTCGATACTGAGGCTTGTAAGAGAGAACTCGAAGAAGCGAGATTAGACTGAGGCGTTGAAAGTAGGGGCGTCTGAGCCGGACAGCAAAAGGATTAGATACAGGAGTGATTATGGGAGAGGTAACCACAGAGGTGGGTGTAGAAGATGGGATCAGAAGTGGGGGGACGTTTTGGGAAACACGGGAATAAGAAACCGTGGAGTCTCCCTTGGAGGCGGAAAGAGAAACTGCCATGGCATAAGGGAGACCTTCTGTCTCTTGAGGGGAACGGGTTTCCCGCTCGTTTAAATAGACCCGACAACGGCGAGAGTAAAGAAGGGGGGGGGCCTCATGACAGTTAAGGCAAGAGGGGGATCGATTGCAAGACGTATTAGAATGGTCATCGGGACCACAGACTGGGCATTCGGCGATAGATCTGCAATATTTCGCTGGATGGGCCAAATCGCCAGCAATTTCTACACTGTTGTGGTGTAGGGATCACCTTTCGAACTTGTAACCGATGTCCTGCTATTTTAAACGGAGGATGGGAGTTCTCGGGTGTCAAAAGTTAAACGAGCCACATTGCTAGGGTATCGTCTCCGCCCACGGGCAGGAAGAACGTAAGTGCTACCCTTTAGGATTGGGAGATCTTGGAGTTCCCGCGTTCTAGAATGTCGGTGCCACATGTCTGGAAATTTTGTTGAACTATGGTATGGGGCAGAATAACGGTACCACTACAAGAATTGAAGGAATGATGTTTTTCAAGGGTGACAGGAACAGTATCTATATGGGAAAGACGAGAGAGCTCACGAGCCTGGGGAGCATTCCCGTACGGTAAAAGATGCGCGTACCGCTCTTTTAAAAGCAAAGAAAAGAAATATCTTTACCAACATGGCGTAGGAGTGCTTGCCAATACTATGGTCAGAAAGATAGGCCCGTAAGGAAGTTGGTCGTAAAGTGAAGAATTTAGTCCACTGTTCAGTCTGAAACTGAGCGTGGAAAGGTTTGTGAAGGGACGTGTCGATCGTTTCTGAGAAGAAAGAGAAGGTGAAGGTGGAGAAGTAAACATCAGCAGGTAATTGTCGTTGACGTTTAGGCGTGGGACCAGAGTTGGTCCGACGTGGAACGGGTCGGCGATTTGAAATTGCCGCACCGTAGAGGAGAGGCCGGAAGCATAGTTTAAGGGAGAGCGAAGGTCTGATAAATCGAAGGGGTCAGTCGAGACCTCAGTACCTGAAGCGGGTGAGGAAACAGCCCGGCAATAGGTACAGAGGGATGAGGAATGTCTGAAGAGTGGTCCAAAGACGAGGCGGGGTCAGAACGGGGTGCGGTATCAAGAAGGGGCCCGGGGGGTAAACCCGGTTCATGGATAGGGCTGCCATGGTTAGGTTACTTCTTTCTTTTTTTTTTTAAGAAAAAAAAAGAAAGAAGAAAAGAAAATAAAAATAAAAAAAGAAAAAAAAAAGGGGGACCCGGGAGGGATATTCCTAGGAGGAATGAAAGGGCCAGAAATCTCCCCCCGCGCCCCCAAAAGACTCGACACCGCTAGTAGCGCAGATGCAGCATGGAACCCGTGCCATACCCTACCCTTCATGCCAGTAAACCCGCAATCTGGGATAGCAACCTCACATCTGCCGAGCTACCTCGGTGGACAAAAGAGAGGGCGGGGCCCGGGTATCCGCCACAAAACATACCTCCTTCAGCCACCACCCCCGGAATCAGAAAGGTGGCTTCCAGAGATACACCCGTCGCCCAAAAGACACCAAAGCTACTCCGGGGTACCGGAGAGGGATCGGGACATCCCTAGGCAATCCAGATTCCACGGCCCAAAATACGCCACCGCCAAGAAACCTCAACGGAATGGGATGGACCCCGGTGTCCTTTCCCCTACCTAGGAACTAGCGCGCCTGTGGGAGAAATCACGAAGGCTAAAAAGAGGAAGGGCAAAAGGGAGGGGTGAGGAGGAGGAGGAGGAATGGAAAAAGGGGAGGATGGGGAGGATGGGATAGGGGAGGGGAGAATGGGGGGTAATTAGGTTCGGTCTGAGGAAGAAGACCGACAGGGCTAATTCCTCAGACCAAGAGCCTCTTCACCACGCCAAGGAGCCCCCCTTGAAGAGGACCACCACAATGCAATTGCATTATAGAGAAGTTCCTCTTAAAAACATCTTATGAAAATTCTTATTAAGTATTAAGCAATCCTTCCCTGATGGGAGATTCCTTGCTACTGTGCATGCATGTGTATCTAACTTATTATTTGAAGGAACATGAAATTGTAGCCAAATCCAGAGACATTGTGGGGTACACTATAGCTTGTGCAGACATTTCTACATAAGCTCCTGCAATTTTCAGAGCCTCTTGTTTTGCTGAGCCCACAATGCTTTGGTGTTGCATCAGTGTGTTTATCCATTCTACACTCTGAGTGTGACCACTATTTTACTGTGATGTTATTTGGATTGTTGTTCTGAGTGTGCATCATGGCTTCCAAGGCCAGAAGAGTAGGAAAGGTAAACTACTCAGGCATGACATCTGGATGATCCCTGGAAACACCTAGTGATGGTTCCAGGGATCATCCCGACTCTTCAGTCTGATCTTAAAACAAGACAAACTGAAGAAGAAATATTACAGAAATAAGAACTGTTAGAAACATGTAGGAAATTAAAGATAAATCTACCTGAGTATGCTAAATGTAGAAGTCTTTAAAATTTACCTGCCATCTTACATATTCATGAGAATGAAAGAAAAACATCAGTCATGCCTAAGTGCAAAAACATATAACAGGCTTCCATTTCACACATGAGCATGAAATCTATCTGGCCATTGTTTTAGCTTTCCATTTAGCACCTACAGCATTACATTACCACCAACATCAAAAGTACAGTAATATGTTTTATTTTAATGCAGCCACTGCCTTCACTAAAAGCCAGAAATATTAGTATACAAATGTATATATAACTGCAAATCTAAATCATTGTCATAGTAATACCACTGGTAACATTTATCTTACCTGCTGTGCAGTCTTCAGGTGTGCCAAATGATGAGGCAGACTAGGACCTAAAATTCTCAATTTTTTCTCTGGACAGTTCTCCTCTGTGCCTTTAGACAGAGAATTTTCATTTGTAGAAATTTCTGGGATATTTGATTTTAATAGACTTGTGTCACTGCTGCTATTTGTTTTGGTTTTATTATTATTACTCTCTTGCTGAGTACAATCACTGTAAGTATTCACAATATCTTCAGTTCTATTTACTTCTGAGTCAACTCCTCTCCTATCACTTGTACCTGCATGATGTAGCTCTGGTGGGGGTAGTTCTCGTTCTTTCACAGTTTTCATTTTACCAGCTGATCTGTCATTCAGGAGCTGCACTCCACTCGATTTATATGAGTGCATGATAGTTTTACTAACTGAATTTCTTGGAACTGCTGATTCTGACTTCTTTATTGAATCACGTTTGAACTCTTTTCTTGGGGCTTTTGCTGGGAGCTCATCATCAATTTCGTCCAACCTTCTGAGTCGTGGCCTCTGCTCTGGTTCCTCCTCCAAGAAAATCTTGTGAGGTTTTAAAGAATGTTCCTAAAATAATTTAGATCACTCATAAATCGGTAAAGACATTTAAAATATTGTACAATGTGCATTCTGACCAAAACAGTAATGAAATAAAAGTAGCAAGCTCCATGTTTTTTGTTTTACCATACTGGCTGTCTTCCACCTACTGACTAGCTTTCACACTAACTTCTTTTGTATACAACCAATACTGAATGAGCATTTTACCATAAAGCATAATTAGAGCTTGAGATGATCACTCACATGAAGACCTGAAGGAATTATTTATGTAAACATTACACAAACAACACAAAGTAGTTTCACACAAATATGAATCCATCATTAATTCCCTGTGCATGTGGCAAGATTTTGGAAAAAAAAAAATAATAGGGAATGAAAGAGTGAACTCTTATGAATCAAATAAGACTAAAATGACTGGAATCAGATAAAAACCTAGGATTTTATGGCATGTTGAAGTTGGACCCAGTGGCATAAATATGCCGGTGATATTTTTTTTTAACAAGTCGACTGTCTCCCACCGAGGCAGGGTGACCCAAAAAGAAAATACTTTCATCATTCAAACACTTTCACCTCACTCACACATAATCACTGTTTTTGCAGAGGTGCTCAGAATACAACAGTTTAGAAGTGTTTTTAATGTTTAATGCTATATACACTAGTTTTTATATGATATCAGATGTGTTTCAACCATGGAAAAATGCTTAGCTCGACACTGCTCCACTTGGAATATACAGTATAAATTGTTGAAATAACTGTTTACTGCTTTGGTCTTCTAACACTATATACATGGAATACTTACGACATTACAACTGTTTCAAGGTGTAATACTCTTCATTATTATTATAATCAAAAAGAAGCACTAAGCCACAAGGACTATACAGCATAATACTCTTCAAAACATGGAAATAAGTTGCACTGTTCAACTGTATTTGGTTATCCTAGGTTTTATATTTAGGTTCAAGGGAATATCTTAGGTTATATAAACAATGTAATTTCCATTTGTCCATTACACCTGTGTGCCTTCAAGACTACTTTAAAATATATATTTACAAGAAAATCTTATGATATTACAATTATTTCAAAGAGTAATATTCACTGAAACATGGAAATAAGTCACATTGACTTTACTGTGTTATCCTGTGTTAAATCTTCATAATGTGCTTTGTGGCTGAATTCCACTGTTAGTATCATGAAACTGTAATAAATCTGGAATGAATAAGTCATCTTCCTGCCAGTTCCACACCCTGTTTATTGGAATGGAAGTCGGTGGTGGAAAAAAATAGGCCTGGTTTCATTGTTTACAATAGTTAGGTATACCTAGTAGGACAGACACAGTCATCACCTGTGTAGTTAACTATGACGCACTGTGTGGACCTGCCTGGCTTTAGGTATTTTTCAAAAGTATGAAAAGACTGTATAAGATCCAAAGAGTTGTGTTGAGGCCAAAAATGTTTGCAGGTAGAGTATTTGAAGATACAAAAAATTGTGCGCATGTTAGACACATTGACATTGCCTGCACAATAGTGCATTGGACACAGTTTAAAGATTAATCAAGCATATAGATTTTATGACTAACCTTTGGTTTGGTAGAAATAGATGCAGGTTTCAGAGACTCCTTGCACTTCTCTCCAAGAGGCTCCAGCTTTAGGTTTTGTTTGCTGCTTGACATTTCTGGACAAGATTGAAAATATCATTCATTTACACATCCTCTTTAACCCTTTGACTGTCGCGGCCGTATATATACGTCTTACGAGGTACCGTGTTTGACGTATATATACTCATAAATTCTAGCGGCTTCAGATCAAGCAGGAGAAAGCTGGTAGGCCCACATGTGAGAGAATGGGTCTGTGTGGTCAGTGTGCACCATATAAAAAAAATCCTGGAGCATGCAGTGCATAATGAGAAAAAAAAACTCCGACCATTTTTTTAAATTAAAATGCCGACTTTGTGGTCTATTTTCGTATAGTATTTATGGTTGTATTCTCATTTTCTTGGTCTCATTTGATAGAATGGAAAACATATTATAGAAATAGAGGTGATTTTGATTGATTTTACTATAAAAAGAACCTGGAAATGGAGCTCAAAGTAGGGAGCCAATGTTCAAAAGTAAACAAATGATGTCATTGTCCAATAAATGTCTAACTAGCCATTCTAATATGCAGTCATGAATGGGTTGATGTTATTTATACAATTATTACAGTATTGCAGTAGTCTGCATAATAGTAAGTCTTCTATTTTTTGTTTGAATAAAAATTCAAAATAGAAAGCAAGAGTAATATCAGAGGGGCCTGGAGACATGACTGATGAACAAAGAAAATGTTATTTTAGAGCTAGGAATGTCTGCATTGTTCATTCTGGACCTTATTTTGAAATTGTCATATTTTTTAATTTTCGTGAAATTGGCCAAATTGCAAATTTCTGACCATGATATTGGGTAGTTGAAATTGGTAAATGGGCAGTTTCTTGTACTCAATCGATAGAAAAAATGGAGTTCTAAAGAAATAGCTATGAGTTTGGTCGACTGGAACAATGGAATTAGCCGAAAATAGGGCTCAAAATGGGCGAAATCGCCGATTTGTAAACATTGCCGAGGTCGCTAACTTCGCGAGAGCATAACTCCGTCAGTTTTCCATCAAATTTCGTTTTTTTGGTGTCATTACAATCGGGAAAAGATTTTCTATCATTTCATAAGAAAAAATAATTTTTTTTTTTTTTTTAAATTTTGCGACACCAGGAGACACCTCAGGATTGGGGGTTGCGACAGTCAAAGGGTTAAGGAAGGCTCCTTGTCATGGTAAAGAGGATATTGGTTTGAGGAATTGGACCTTTTGATCTTCCTCAGACTGAACTTAATTACCCCCCAATCCCCCCTTCCCTTTCCTCCTATCCCCATCCCTTCCTGTTTTCATCCTTTGGGATTCTCCCCACAGGCACTCTAGTTCCTAGATAGGGGGAAGGGTACTGTGGTCCATCCCATTCTGTTGAGGTCCTCAGTGGTGGTATAGTTTGCTGTGGAATCTGGATTGCCTGGGGATGTCCCAATCCCTTTCCGGTCTCCCGGGGGATGGCTTTGGGTGTCTTTCGGGTGATGGGTGTATCTCTGGAGGCTGCCTTTTGGATTCCGGGGGATGTGAGGTTGTTATCCTAGATTGATGGTTTACTGGCATGAAGGGTAGGGTATGGCATGGGTTTCATGCCGCATCTGCAGTACTTGCGGTGCTGAGGTCTTCTTGGGCATGGAGGGGGATTTAAGGCCCTTTCATTCCTCCTAGGAGCTATCCCTCCACATTCCCCCCTTGTTTTCTTTTTTTTCTAAAAAAACAAAAAGAAAGAAGTGACATAACCATGGAGTCCCAAATCCATGAAACAGCTCCTCCCAGGCCCCTTTCTGCTATCGCACCTTGTTCCGACCCTACCTTGTTCTCTGACCATTCTTCGGACCTTTCTAATGCCTCTGTACCTTCTGCTGGTGTCGTTTTGTCACCCACTCCAGGTTCCACCTGACTCCTTTGACACATCTGACCCCCGCACTTCTTTGGCCATGCTTCCGGCTTCTCCCTCTTCGGTGTGGTGATTTTCGGATCGCCCGCCCGTCCCACGTCAGACCAAGTCCGGTCCCACACCTAAACACCCAAGACCATTAACTGATAATACTCCTTCGCTTACTTCTCACTCTGCCCAGAAAAGACCGGCACGACACTCGCTACATTTCAAAATACACAATGGACTAAGTTTTTTACTCTGCGACCGACTTCCACTGACTATCTTTCCGATCATAGTATCAGCAAAGTGCTCCTACACCATGTTGGTCAAGATATATCCTTTCATGCTCTCAGGAGAGGTGCACGCATTGTCATGGTACAGAATATTACCCAAGCTCACAATCTTTCTCTCCATACAACCATAGATGCTATTTCTGTAACAATTGAAAAACATCATTCTCTCAATTCTTGTATTGGTACTGTCATTCTACCTCATACCATTGTCCAATGTAATTTCCAGACATGTGGTGATGACATTCTGAAACAGCTTGAGCTCCAAAACCTCCCAATCCTCAAAGTAGACGCTTATGTCCTACCCTTGCAGTGTAGCTCGCATAACTTTTGACTGCTGTGAGCTTCCATCCTTGGTTTATATTGCGGGACACCGTTTACAAGTTCGAAAGGTGATCCTTACACTGCAACAGTGTAGAAATTGTTGGCATTTTGGTCATCCAGTGAAATATTGTAGGTCCATGGCTGAATGCCCAAAATAGCTAAGAATTTGGTCTAATGGAACAATGTAATTGGCCAAAAATAGGACTCAAAGTGGGCAAAATCGCCAATGCATAAACATTGCTGAAACAGCAAAATTCGTGTGTAATTCCATAAAATTTTTATCATATTTCATACTTTTTGTTTTTACCTTCAGAAAAAGAATCTCTACCATTTCATAAGAAACATTTTTTTTTTTTTTTTTTTTGAAAATTCTTGGACCCTGTGGAGAATTTTCAGATTAGGGGTCTGGACCCTCAAAGAGTTAATTGTGGGAGAGGAATGCATTATTCAAGAAAGCCTGGCAGCTTATCAAATGCTGCTGCAATGTAAACATACTGAAGTAAACAAAAAAATAATTACTGGGTTAAAAAAAAAGGTCTATTAATAGGACGTGCAATTTTCAATTCTCACTGCTTAGCATTCATTCATGTCCTGGAAAGCAACAAGCAAGAAGGAGGCTTGGAGTAACTACCATCTACCTTCCTCTTTTTTTTTAACTGCCTAAAATCAGAAGTAAAATAGTGAAATGTAACAACTTCTGATTCATTGAAAACCTTGATACTGACGAAACTTTTGTGAAAAATGTGAAAAAAAAAGTTTTGTCAGGTAAGTATAAAACTATATACCACACAGTAGGGCCCCACTTTTATGGTGGGTTAAGTTCCAGGCTACTGCTGTAAAGCAGAAATTGCCATAAACCAAATCACACTTTTTTTCCATTTATAAATGCTTCATAATACAGTGGACCCCCGGTTAACGATCAGGTGCCAGTACTGACCGAATTTGTTCCCATAAGAAATATTGTGAAGTAGATTAGTCCATTTCAGACCCCCAAACATACACGTACAAACGCACTTACATAAATACACTTACATAATTGGTCACATTCGGAGGTAATCGTTATGCGGGGGTCCACTGTATATGTTTACACTATCATATGTTAACTTAGCAATAGAACTAGGTAATAAAAAAATAAAATACACATAGACTACACTCATTACTTACCTTAAAATACTTGTAGTCTTAATGCAGGGTGAGCGGTGAGTAGTCTTTATTGTAGGAAGTCAGGTGGTAGGTACAGTAGCTTGCCCAGCTACCACGCCTACATGTAACATGCAACATTTAAGGCACCCCAGAGGGATAAAATACACATACAGTACACTCATTACTTAAAATATGTGTAGTCTTAATGTAGGGTGAGAGGTGAGCATTTATTGTAGAAAGTCAGGTGTGGTAGCTCACCCGGCTACCACACCTACACAAAATATATGACTTAAATTTAAAGCACCCCAGAGCAATTATTATTATTATTACCATCGACATACCTTGTTCACCAAGTTTAATAATTTCTAACAACTACCCTTAGATGCCATCGTAAACAAGAGACGAGTAAATAAGAGGCGCCGAGAATGTAAACACATGGACAAATGCCTATTAATACCTACCCGGTTATGGTTCATACATGTTCATTCCTCATAAGTTTGTGAAGCTTTTACCACAATACAAACACCATACATAGTGTACAAGTTGTCTTCATGTTGGTGCAGTAGAATAAATAACAGCAACACTCCCATTCTCATGCAACACACCATTTCTAGAGGTAATGACGCTCTGAGTAGTGGTGTGTGGACGTATAATAGCGAATCAGGTAGGTGGGGACTGAACTCACGAAAAATGAGTTGTAAAACTCCAGGCCAGCACGTAAGGAATTGGGTCAGGTGGCTACAATAAGATTCACTGAACTAGGTATATTTATAAACTACAGGGAGGTTAGCAAGGGTCCCACTGTGACCACAAATGCAAGTTTTTACATATGAATCTCCAGCCAGTGGTGAACTCCAGCTCAAGTCCTCCTCCGTGGTTTTTTCTTGCTCATATGTTTGTCCAACCTACTATTAAAGTTACCCAAGGTTTTAGTTTCAATGATATAATGAGGGATAAGGAAGCAGGCTGGAAGGAAGTCAGACAGAAGGAAGGAGGCAGAGAGGTAGAAAGGAAGGCAAGGAGACATAGAGGAAAGCAATGGGAAAGAGAGGTAGAGAGGAAGGCATGGAAGGAGGCAACCCTGTCTTGCCTTGCCCTGCCTTTGATCAATGAACCTAAAACCTTAGGAAATTTTAAAAATAGGTAGGACAAATATACGAGATAAAGGTTGGCTAGAATATTTTTTTTTTTTTTTCAACAAGTCGGCCGTCTCCCACCGAGGCAGGGTGACCCAAAAAAGAAAGAAAATCCCCAAAAAGAAAATACTTTAATCATCATTCAACACTTTCACCACACTCGCACATTATCACTGTTTTTGCAGAGGTGCTCAGAATACAACAGTTTAGAAGCATACACATATAAAGATACACAACATATCCCTTCAAACTGCCAATATAATATATAGAATATATATATGTACTATTTTGACTTAAAATAATCTGACCCCTTTTAAAGTCCCCTCAAACACTAGGGTAGGCTTATCTATGAGATAAATAATAAAAAAAAAGGCAAATTATCAGGGGACAACCTAACATGGATTCAGGTTATACTGGGGTATACGTATATGGTATTCTTCAGAAAACAAATGGCCTAAATAATGTTAAATTCTGACCGTATTTTGGCTGGTATGGCTGCAACTCAGGAACACCAAGCGGGCGGGCAATGTTGGAGAGTCTGCGTAACCTCAATTCATCCTTTCGTAAATCAACAGCTCGTAACTGTAACCAAGAAAAATTACATGGGAGATGCAGGTAATGGTGACTTTAAATTGGTTTCTGAGCTAATGGTTAATCTTTCCATCCTATGAGTCAGCTGGATACTTATATCTAATTAACTAAATAGTCTTCTCATAGGAACAATACAAGTAAAGAGCATGTGATATGGCTGCCACTATAATATTACAAAATAATGTGAAGTTCAGAAGATGCTCAATTAACAGACCTTCTCTCATCCAGAATCACAACAAATGGTCCACTAGCCAGTTCAGACATGTCCCAATGATTACCTGGCCACTTGGCTGATGAGTTTTATGAAAAAAATATCTATATCTGCAATCACATAAAATAAAAGGCAAATACAAAAAGGATTGATTTTAATGATGTGATAGATGATTTTGCAGGACTGAAAGCAAGGAAATGTAAGATCAGATTCACTGAGAAGTTGCCTGTAATCAAGGTGAAATCAGGACTAGTGTTTCTCTGATATTGCAATGTTTTTCTTTATTTTTCAAGCCTTCTTTTTTTGCATTGTTAATTAAAGATGAATAAATGTAGGATCTGTTGCCTGTACTCAAAGTGGTATTTGAGTTTATGTTTCCTCAATATTACTATGATTATATATTTTATCATTAATAAAGTTGAGAAGTATTCTCCTGTTCAGTTTATGGCCCTTAAATGTTCTTATTGCTAAACATTAGTCACTGGGCATGCAGTAGTGACATAACTAGAGTTTACTCCCCCCATCCCCCCCACCCTAGGATTTCATGGGGGTGACACCAAAGATGCCACCCCGGGTGACACCAACCCTCGTAATGCCACTGCAGTATAACCCCCTTATTTGCGGAATCGGTTTCCATGGTTTCAGTAATCCATGGTTTACTGTGGCCTGAAAATAACCCATAATTTTGCTTAATAATGGCCGCAGATACAGGGAGACTATTGTATATATAAATTTAATTTTTTCCTTTTAAAAGTATCATTAACATACAGTTGGTAAGAGGAGGAAGATGCCAATCCTTGCAAAGATAGAGAGTATGAGTATGGTATGCAAGCACTGATGCTTGAGTTAGCCGTTTCGGGGTCGGTGTCATACGAGTACGGCTTGCACGCCAGGGTTGGTGCCGTACTAGTACGCGTAAATTCTAGCGCTTTCAAATCTAGCGAGAGAAAGCTGGTAGGCCTACATATGAAAGAATGGGTCTGTGTAGTCAGTGTGCACAGTATAAAAAAAATCCTGCAGCACACAGTGAATAATGAGAAAAAAAATAGACCGTGTTTTTTGTTTAAAACAACGACTTTGCAGTGTATTTTCGTATGGTATTTATGGTTGCATTCTCGTTTTCTTGGTGTTATTTTATAGAATGGAAGACATATTATGGAAATTGAGATGATTTTGATTGGTATCACAATGAAAAGTACCTTGAAATTGAGCTCAAAGTAGCAGAAATGTTCGATTTTGCCAATGTTCAAAAGTAAACAAACCATGCCACGTGTCCAATACATGTCAATTGGTGAATCTAATATTCTTTCCCAAGTGTGCTGATATTATTTATATAATTTTTACACTAATGCAGTAATCTGCATAACAGTAAATCCTCTATTTTTTTGTGAGAATAAAAGTTCAAAGTGGAAAGCAAAAGAAATGTAAGAGGGGCCTGGGGACGTGACTAATGAACAGAGAAAATGTTATTTTAGTGCCAGGAATGTCTGTCTTATTTTAGTGCCAGGAATGTCTGTCTTGTTTATTCTGGACCCTATTTTGAAATTGCCATCTTTTGAAATTTGTGTGAAATTGGCAAAATTGCCAATTTCTGACCACTTCATTGGATAGTTGAAATCAGTAACTGGCTGGTTTCTTGTACGCATTTGATAGAACAAATGGAGTTCTAACGAAATAGCTATGAGTTTTGTTGACCGGTGCATTGGAATTGGACGAAAATAGGGCTCAAAGTGGGCGAAATCGCCTATGAGCAAACATTGTTGAGACTGCTAACTTCATGAGAGCATAATTTCGTAAGTTTTCCATCAAATTTCATACTTTTGGTGTCATTATGATCGGGAAAAGATTATCTATCATTTCATAAGAAAAAATAATTTTTCGAAATTTTATAAATTAAATTTATAAATTAAATGTAAAGCATTTAATTTATAAATAAATCATCACATGATATTTGCCACTGAAAAGGCACACTAAGGCCAATTATTGAACAAATATGCTTAACTTGTGTGGGACATAACAATCCTTTTTACTACTGCTTACTTTTGGAAATTAGGGTCTGAGATCTGAATAAACAAGTTACAAATGTACACGAAGAATGCAGCTCTTTCTTAAATTAAAGAACAATATTTTATGTTTAATTTTCTCTAATTTAGGCCTATCTTTGCATTAATTTTCTGCATAAAACAGCTACCACCATATAACAAACATTTAAATGTAAAAGTATAGAAAACTCTATACTTAACATTCAAAGAAATGTAAAAGTCTAGAAAACAGAAAACTATATTTAGCATTCAAAGAAATTAGGAAAACAAACCAATTACCTTCCAAGTGACACGTTTGTGTTTGTCTGGCACTTCTGACTGCAGCTTGTTCAGGTAAGTGTCAAGATCATCATCGGCTACACTGGTGCACTCAGAAACCTGTTTTAGGAAGTCTGCCTTGGCAAGTTTTTCCTCTAATGTTGCTAATTCCTTTGTGACTTCATTATATTTTGTTATCTGTAAAAAAAAAAAAAAAACGGTTATCTGATCAATACTGAAAGAGTTATCTTGAAACATTTCAGATGTACCAATATTCAAAATACCCCACTCTAAAGGAGGGGTTTTGGGATATTAGTAGTTTGGAGGGGTATGTTGTGTATCTTTATAAGTACAGTGGACCCCCGCATAACGATCACCTCCGAATGCGACCAATTATGTAAGTGTATTTATGTAAGTGCGTTTGTACGTGTATGTTTGGGGGTCTGAAATGGACTAATCTACTTCACAATATTCCTTATGGGAACAAATTCGGTCAGTACTGGCACCTGAACATACTTCTGGAGTGAAAAAATATCGTTAACCGGGGGTCCACTGTATATGCTTCTAAACTGTTGTGTTCTGGGCACGTCTGCAAAAACAGTGATTATGTGTGAGTGAGGTGAAAGTCTTGAATGATGATGAAAGTATTTTCTTTTTGGGGATTTTCTTTCTTTTTGGGTCACCCTGCCTCGGTGGGAGACGGCCGACTTGTTGAAAAAAAAAAAAAAACATACAGTAGTCCCCCACCCTCCCCCATATCCACAGGGGATACATTCCAAAACTTACCATGGATGCCCAAAATTGCAGATAGTAGCGAACCCCATATATGTCATTTTTTGTTTAAATACATAACCAGAAGCAGACTGGGCCTTAAAACCCGGCTCAGGCATCCGTCACCTATCAGGTCAGCTGAGGGGCAGAGGTGTGTTTTCACTGCTCAGCTAAGGCACGTTCCATTTTCATTTCAGTCTTTGTGCAATGGCTATGACTTCAGTTTTTTGTGACTTTTTTCAGCAATTTTTTTATCCAGCCCAGCGAGCATTGCCCAAATGCCCGTATGACCAGTCTGCCTCTATACATACCTATGATACAATTTAATTGAAAATTATGCATAATAAGTCAAGAATTAGCACTTTTTCACTAATGAGAAACACTTCACAGCTTCTCCTAGGCTTTGAAGAACTGCCAGCATCACTACTTTCGCACTTTGGAGCCATTATTAAACAAAATTAAGGGTTATTTTCAGGCCACGGTAAACCTCAGGTAACTGAAACCTGCCAAGTGAGTGTGAAACGAAAGCCTGTAATTGTTTTACATGATGGTTGGATTGCTGGTGTCCATTTTTCTGTCTCATGAACATGCAAGGTTTCAGGTACGTCTTGCTACTTCTACTTACACTTAGGTCACACTACACATACATGTACGAGCATATATATACACATCACTCTGGATATTCTTCTATTTTCTTTCTAGTTCTTGTTCTTGTTTATTTCCTCTTATCTTCATGGGGAAGTGGAACAGAATTCTTCCTCCGTAAGCCATGCGTGTTGTAAGAGGCAACTAAAATGCCGGGAGCAAGGGGCTAGTAACCCCTTCTCCCGTATAAATTACTAAATTTAAAAGAGAAACTTTCGTTTTTCTTTTTGGGCCACCCTGGCTTAGTGGGATACGGCCGGTGTGTTGAAAGAAAGAAGAAAGGATTGCTGGTGTCCATTTTTCTGTCTCATGAACATGCAAGGTTTCAGGTACGTCTTGCTACTTCTACTTACACTTAGGTCACACTACACATACATGTACAAGCATATATATACATACATACCCCTCTGGGTTTTCTTCTATTTTCTTATTGGTTCTTGTTCTTGTTTATTTCCTCTTACCTCCATGGGGAAGTGGAACAGAATTCTTCCTCTGTAAGCCATGCGTGTTGTGAGAGGTGACCAAAATGCCAGGAGCAAGGGGCTAGTAACCCCTTCTCCTGTATATATTATTAATGTAAAAGGAGAAACTTTCGTTTTTCCTTTTGGGCCACCCCGCCTCTGTGGGATACAGCCGGTGTGTTGAAAGAAGAAATATATATATCCTAGGTAGTAGGTTGGTAGACAGCAACCGCCCAGGGAGGTACTACCGTCCTGCCAAGTGAGTGTAAAACGAAAGCCTGTAATTGTTTTACATGATGGTAGGATTGCTGGTGTCCATTTTTCTGTCTCATAAACATGCAAGATTTCAGGTACGTCTTGCTACTTCTACTTACACTTAGGTCACACTACACATACATGTACAAGCATATATATACACACCCCTCTGGGTTTTCTTTCTAGTTCTTGTCCTTGTTTATTTCCTCTTACCTCCATGGGGAAGTGGAACAGAATTCTTCCTCCATAAGCCATGCGTGTTGTAAGAGGCGACTAAAATGCCAGGAGCAAGGAGCTAGTAACCCGTTCTTCTGTATACTGTATATTACTAAATGTAAAAGGAGACACTTTCGTTTTTCCTTTTGGGCCACCCCGCCTCGGTGGGATATGGCAGGTGTGTTGAAAGAAAGAAAAAGCAGAAACTTTCGTTTTTCCTTTTGGGCCACCCCACCTCGGTGGGATACTGCCGTTGTGTTGAAAGAAGAAAGAAATATATATATCCTAGGTAGTAGGTTGGTAGACAGCAACCGCCCAGGGGAGTACTACCGTCCTGCCAAGTGAGTGTGAACGAAAGCCTGTAATTGTTTTACATGATGGTAGGATTGCTGGTGTCCATTTTTCTGTCTCATGAACATGCAAGGTTTCAGGTATGTCTTGCTACTTCTACTTACACTTAGGTCACACTACACATACATGTACAAGCATATATATACATACATACCCCTCTGGGTTTTCTTCTATTTTCTTACTAGTTCTTGTTCTTGTTTATTTCCTCTTACCTCCATGGGGAAGTGGAACAAAATTCTTCCTCCGTAAGCCATGTGTGTTGTGAGAGGCGACTAAAATGCCAGGAGCAAGGGGCTAGTAACCCCTTCTCCTGTATAAATTACTAAATTTAAAAAGAGAAACTTTTGTTTCTCTTTTTAGGCCACCCTGCCTTGGTGGGATACGGCCGGTTTGTTGAAAAAAAAAAAAAAAAAAAAAAAAAAATATGCAAACATATTACCAGTGTATCGTAGTTTTCTACGAAGGCATTATCCTTTCCAACAGCATCCCTCATACGCCTTATTCTCTTCCTCTGCACATCTCCAGTACGATCCAAGAAATCATCATCATCAGAGTCATAATAGTCGTTTTCTGCCCAGTCACGTTTTTTTCTTTCATGGCTCTCTGCAGGAAAAATATTATTAAAGAAACAGTAATGGAGCATGCTCGATAAAAATGTTCTGCAGTGCTTCCAAGTACAGCAGACTGCTGGTAAACACGTGCTCTCTTAACATATTTTCACATTAATACAGTTGCAAAATTGTCACATATTATTGGTGAACATGCCGTATTAATCAGTTTGCATGGCAGAGTAAATGTAGGGGAAAATATGGCACATGCCAGGTTCTTTGTCTCACAATGAGTCTTAGGACGAGTTCATTGTTCATGTACACAACCTCCCTCACCTAAGTCCTCCAATTTCAAGTGTCAAACACTATATTTAGCCTGTGTTCATGAATCAATTTTTTTATCTTTCCATCATACCATCTCATCTTTGGATAGTAACTATGGCATCCTAGAGGAATGAGAGTGATTGTGGAAGTGTAAAAAAGCATAAGCGTGAAAGTCTAGGCATTTTGAAGAGCATACAAAATATTCAATAAGCTTAAGCATGGTGCATGTGAGAGGAAGACAGCAAGAGCCTATGGCCTGAATGAGGCATCAATTCGCACAATTAGGAGCTTGTGCAATGAGTAACCCAGAACGTGACCATCTGAAAAAAAAAATGGCAAATAAGTCAGAACAGCTAAATGTGATGAAAAAGTTATTTTTTTTTTTTTTTTTTTTTTTTTTTTTTTTTTTTTTTTTTTATTATCACACCGGCCGATTCCCACCAAGGCAGGGTGGCCCGAAAAAGAAAAACTTTCACCATCATTCACTCCATCACTGTCTTGCCAGAAGGGTGCTTTACACTACAGTTTTTAAACTGCAACATTAACACCCCTCCTTCAGAGTGCAGGCACTGTACTTCCCATCTCCAGGACTCAAGTCCGGCCTGCCGGTTTCCCTGAATCCCTTCATAAATGTTACTTTGCTCACACTCCAACAGCACGTCAAGTATTAAAAACCATTTGTCTCCATTCACTCCTATCAAACACGCTCACGCATGCCTGCTGGAAGTCCAAGCCCCTCGCACACAAAACCTCCTTTACCCCCTCCCTCCAACCCTTCCTAGGCCGACCCCTACCCCGCCTTCCTTCCACTACAGACTGATACACTCTTGAAGTCATTCTGTTTCGCTCCATTCTCTCTACATGTCCGAACCACCTCAACAACCTTCCTCAGCCCTCTGGACAACAGTTTTGGTAATCCCGCACCTCCTCCTAACTTCCAAACTACGAATTCTCTGCATTATATTCACACCACACATTGCCCTCAGACATGACATCTCCACTGCCCCCCAGCCTTCTCCTCGCTGCAACATTCATCACCCACGCTTCACACCCATATAAGAGCGTTGGTAAAACTATACTCTCATACATTCCCTCTTTGCCTCCAAGGACAAAGTTCTTTGTCTCCACAGACTCCTAAGTGCACCACTCACTTCTTTTTCCCTCATCAATTCTATGATTCACCTCATCTTTCATAGACCCATCCGCTGACACGTCCACTCCCAAATATCTGAATACGTTCACCTCCTCCATACTCTCTCCCTCCAATCTGATATTCAATCTTTCATCACCTAATCTTTTTGTTATCCTCATAACCTTACTCTTTCCTGTATTCACCTTTAATTTTCTTCTTTTGCACACCCTACCAAATTCATCCACCAATCTCTGCAACTTCTCTTCAGAATCTCCCAAGAGCACAGTGTCATCAGCAAAGAGCAGCTGTGACAACTCCCACTTTGTGTGTGATTCTTTATCTTTTAACTCCACGCCTCTTGCCAAGACCCTCGCATTTACTTCTCTTACAACCCCATCTATAAATATATTAAACAACCACGGTGACATCACACATCCTTGTCTAAGGCCTACTTTTACTGGGAAAAATTTCCCTCTTTCCTACATACTCTAACTTGAGCCTCACTATCCTCGTAAAAACTCTTCACTGCTTTCAGTAACCTACCTCCTACACCATACACTTGCAACATCTGCCACATTGCCCCCCTATCCACCCTGTCATACGCCTTTTCCAAATCCATAAATGCCACAAAGACCTCTTTAGCCTTATCTAAATACTGTTCACTTATATGTTTCACTGTAAACACCTGGTCCACACACCCCCTACCTTTCCTAAAGCCTCCTTGTTCATCTGCTATCCTATTCTCCGTCTTACTCTTAATTCTTTCAATTATAACTCTACCATACACTTTACCAGGTACACTCAACAGACTTATCCCCCTATAATTTTTGCACTCTCTTTTATCCCTTTGCCTTTATACAAGGAACTATGCATGCTCTCTGCCAATCCCTAGGTACCTTACCCTCTTCCATACATTTATTAAATAATTGCACCAACCACTCCAAAACTATATCCCCACCTGCTTTTAACATTTCTATCTTTATCCCATCAATCCCGGCTGCCTTACCCCCTTTCATTTTACCTACTGCCTCACGAACTTCCCCACACTCACAACTGGCTCTTCCTCACTCCTACAAGATGTTATTCCTCCTTGCCCTATACACGAAATCACAGCTTCCCTATCTTCATCAACATTTAACAATTCCTCAAAATATTCCTTCCATCTTCCCAATACCTCTAACTCTCCATTTAATAACTCTCCTCTCCTATTTTTAACTGACAAATCCATTTGTTCTCTAGGCTTTCTTAACTTGTTAATCTCACTCCAAAACTTTTTCTTATTTTCAACAAAATTTGTTGATAACATCTCACCCACTCTCTCATTTGCTCTCTTTTTACATTGCTTCACCACTCTCTTAACTTCTCTCTTTTTCTCCATATACTCTTCCCTCCTTGCATCACTTCTACTTTGTAAAAACTTCTCATATGCTAACTTTTTCTCCCTTACTACTCTCTTTACATCATCATTCCACCAATCGCTCCTCTTCCCTCCTGCACCCACTTTCCTGTAACCACAAACTTCTGCTGAACACTCTAACACTACATTTTTAAACCTACCCCATACCTCTTCGACCCCATTGCCTATGCTCTCATTAGCCCATCTATCCTCCAATAGCTGTTTATATCTTACCCTAACTGCCTCCTCTTTTAGTTTATAAACCTTCACCTCTCTCTTCTCTGATGCTTCTATTCTCCTTGTATCCCATCTACCTTTTACTCTCAGTGTAGCTACAACTAGAAAGTGATCTGATATATCTGTGGCCCCTCTATAAACATGTACATCCTGAAGTCTACTCAACAGTCTTTTATCTACCAATACATAATCCAACAAACTACTGTCATTTCGCCCTACATCATATCGTGTATACTTATTTATCCTCTTTTTCTTAAAATATGTATTACCTATAACTAAACCCCTTTCTATACAAAGTTCAATCAAAGGGCTCCCATTATCATTTACACCTGGCACCCCAAACTTACCTACCACACCCTCTCTAAAAGTTTCTCCTACTTTAGCATTCAAGTCCCCTACCACAATTACTCTCTCACTTGGTTCAAAGGCTCCTATACATTCACTTAACATCTCCCAAAATCTCTCTCTCTCCTCTGCATTCCTCTCTTCTCCAGGTGCATACACGCTTATTATGACCCACTTCTCGCATCCAACCTTTACTTTAATCCACATAATTCTTGAATTTACACATTCATATTCTCTTTTCTCCTTCCATAACTGATCATTTAACATTACTGCTACCCCTTCCTTTGCTCTAACTCTCTCAGATACTCCAGATTTAATCCCATTTATTTCCCCCCACTGAAACTCTCCTACCCCTTCAGCTTTGTTTCGCTTAGGGCCAGGACATCCAACTTCTTTTCATTCATAACATCAGCAATCATCTGTTTCTTGTCATCCGCACTACATCCACGCACATTTAAGCAACCCAGTTTTATAAAGTTTTTCTTCTTCTCTTTTTTAGTAATTGTATACAGGAGAAGGGGTTACTAGCCCATTGCTCCCGGCATTTTAGTCGCCTCATACGACACGCATGGCTTACGGAGGAAAGATTCTTTTCCACTTCCCCATGGACAATAGAAGAAATAAAAAAGAACAAGAGCTATTTAGAAAAAGGAGAAAAACCTAGATGTATGTATATATATATATGCATGTGCGTGTCTGTGAAGTGTGACCAAAGTGTAAGTAGGAGTAGCAAGATATCCCTGTTATCTTAGCGTGTTTATAAAATATTATAAAATAGCATGTGATGTGGAAGTAGAGTGCTTGTTTATTACAGACTGGTTCCAAAGGTTCAAATTGCATAGCTGGTTGCATTTTATTAAGTTTTCTTTTAAATTTGCCTCTGTTGACCACACTACTGCACGGAAATTCCCTGCTGCATTACATACAAGCCACAGCAAGTGTTTAATGCTGATGAGACAAGTCTTTATTGGAAGAAGATGCCAGTGAGAACTTACATCAGCCAGCAAGAGAAAAGTGCACTAGGATTGAAGGCACCTTCAGTTTGCTACTTTGTGGTAATGCATAAAGCAATTTTAAGCGTAAGCAACTGGTTATTTGGTAAGACACATAGGCAACAGTCAGGCAACTTTATTCCGAAATGCTTCAGCTACACAGTAGGCTCCTTCAGTCAAGTACAGAAAGTAGGCAGGAGCAGTAGAGATGTGATGATGTAATCAGTCCATCACTCTTGAGGTCGTAGATTTGAAGTTGTCAGTCCCTCAGCCTGGAGAAGAGTTCTGTTCCAGACTATGGAACAGAGCTCTTCTCCAGGCTAAGAACATCAGAACATAAGAGAGAAGGAACACTGCAACAGACCTACTGGCCTATACGAGGTAGCTCCAATTCTCCCACCGGCTTAAGCCAATGCCTTGACCTAGTGAGGTCAGACACATCACTTAAGGGAGAAGCAGTGCATCCGACCTAGTAGCACAAACTAGTCAGGTCCAGCTCACATCCACCCACACCCACTCATGTATTTATCCAACCTATTTTTAAAACTACACAACGTCTTAGCGTCTATGATGGTACTCGGGAGTTTGTTCCACTCATCCACAACTCTATTATCAAACCACTGCTTTCCTATATCCTTCCGTAGATTTGAGGGACTGACAACCTCAAATCTATGACCTCAAGGGTGATGGACCGATTACATCATCTTCACATCTCTACTGCTCCTGCCTACTTTCTGTACTCGACTGTAGAAGCCGTAGCCAAAATGTTTCAGAATAAAGTTGCCTAACTGTTTACTATGTGTCTTACAAACCTGTTGGTATTGTATACCATTTTTGATATTCAAATGGTTATTTACCACTTCAAGACTCCAGTGCCTTGAAAGGTACAGTTAAAACCACCTTACCAGTCATCTAGCCAAACCAGTGAGCATGGATGACAGAGAAATTATTTATTGACTGGCTGAAGCATCACTTTATTCTTAAAGTCATGTTGTGCCTACACAGCAAGAACCTTGCATTCAAGGTTCTTCTCACTCTGGATAATTACCATAATCATCCAGAAACTTTAATGGATGTGCAGCCACATAAAAATAGTTCTTAACATAAATACAACCTCTTTAATACACAATACACGTACACAAATAACTCGCACACAGGAGAGAGGAGCTTACGACAATGACTGGATCGAGGAATTATTAGAACATTTAAATGTAATTACACTAGAACAGTGATGTGAAAACTTGTTGCAGCAATGGATGCTGACTCAGACCTTGGTGTGCCAGACTTTTGGTGTAAATTTAACATTGCAGCTGTTATTATGTGAGTCAAAAGTGCCCCAATCAACATTAAATGCAGGCTGGGAAAAGTTATACCCTAGTGTGTTGAATACTTTCACAGGTTGCCCCTCAGTTGCAAGCCAGGTGCAGAAAATTGTTCAGCTGCAAATGAGATTGCCAGGTAAGGGCTTTGAAGATATGCCAGATGATGAAGTGAATGAACTGTTAAAAGATTATGGCAAAGAAAGAAGTCAAGAGGAAATGTTGGCAGAGCTCAATGCCCAGATACAGGGGAGGCAGATATCAGCAGAAGGTCTCGGTTAGATGACCAAAAGCTGCAGCTGCGGGTCATCATATGACTAAGACCCAAGTTAGGAAACACTTGTCCTGTTTCCTGATGAACCTTACCTAACCTAAGAGAACAGACAAAAATGAGGAAGAACTTGAAGAAAAACAGTTAACATTGCAACAGCTACAAGGATAGTTCCATGTTACTGCTAAACTAGCAGACTTTTTCACTGAGGAGGACCCTGACAAATCTATAAGCACTGCTCTGAAATGGGGTCTAGAGCAGCTAAAGATGCCTTACCATCAGCTGTATAGAATACTGCAGGATAAAAGAGACCAGAGATGCACTACTGAATTTCTCAGTACTCCAGTACAACCATCAATAACAGCGCACGAGCCTCAACCATCCACCTCAGCTAACAATCCCCAACATTCCACCTCAGCCTGGTAGGGCCACACCATCCCTCTTTACACCTATCAACATGCACCAGCAACCAGAATTTAAGGTAAGAAATGACAATTATGTAATCTTAAGAACAAGAACTAGTAAGAAAATAAAAGAAAACCCAGAGGGGTGCGTATATATATGCTTGTACATGTATGTATAGTGTGACCTAATTGTAAGTAGAAGTAGCAAAACATACCTGAAATCTTGCATGTTTATGAGACAGAAAAAAGACACCAGCAATCCTACCATCATGTAAAATGGCAGGACAGTAGTACCTCCCTGGGCAGTTGCTGTCTAGCAACTTACTACCTAGGAAGCTTTTGCCAGGTCACTGACTGGAAAAAGACCCAGGCTGGGACAATACCAGCAAACCTACTACTTCCTGGGAATCTTTGAATCTATAAGTATTTTATTTTATTAAATATAACACATCACTGCATCCACATACAATTACATTATAATCACAAATCAGATTAGTTAGTCTACCAACAACAGAAAGTACTAGTGGAAAATAATAAGAGAAAATTATCTGACAAACTGCCAAATTGAAATGTCATACAGTTCATTCCACAGCACACCAGCATAAAAGGAAATGTTATACTCAATGGTTTTACATCAGGGTTTTACTACAAGTAAATATATAACACCAGGAAGTACAGCCATGTCAATCATAAATATAATCTGGGAAGTGTGAAAAAATTTATAGGTACATCAAGAGGTATGTTATATGATATGAAGAACCAGGTGGAATTAATACTGTTGCTGGTAGTGATATCAAGCAAGGAAGATATTACTGGATTTGAAGGAGAAAGAGAGCTTTGGGAAGCTATAAAACATGTACAGAATAGCACTAGCCAGGATCACAAGAAAAGCATTCTTGAAGAACTTACCGGAAAATTTATGAAAAATGGGAAAGTGAGACAGACACAAATCACAAAACTAGTGAAGAGCAAAGATGGGAAAGAAACAGCAGTGATACACTGCCAGAACAAGAAGCAGCAGCAATGAAAGCATAAAACAACATAAATCGAAGGAAATACATGCAGATAAAGATGGACTGGCAAACTCAGAGCAGCTCACAGTAAACAAAACTGCAACTACCACAGAAGATGACGAAAGGTGTGAGATATGTATGTACTATGCCAAGGAAATCTCAAAATATAGATAAATATTGATAGGGTGTAGACATTTTCACCTTGAGAAGTGTAAATCACCACTACAGACCAGAAAATGTTATGACATTGCCCAAAATTTCATGTGAAGAGAACACATCACTACAAATTACTTATCAAAAAACTGAATGCATGGCAAGCAAAAATAATTTTTTTAGACAAAGTGAAAAATGAGCCAAAGAGAGGAAAAAATGACAGACAATGAAAAATGCAGGTGGTGAAGGGCAGATACATGGCAATGAAACACAACAGACCAGTGTTTCACACATCAAGATTGAACGTACAACAGCCCACAGTACAGCCAGTATTGGAGAGAAAAAGAATACGTACACAAAGTGCCATATTACAAGATGGCATGATACCAAAAGCACTAACAAAGTACAATAACTCAAACATCCCAAATGGTAAATCCTCTTCCTCTTTTTTTCTAAAAGTTAGGGTTCAACTCTTTCGCTGTCTCTTACATTTGTCTATGTAACGCCAGTGCCATTCACGTAGATCTATGTTTTAATTAAGCACTGCGCCCTCAAATATGCTGTGAGCAGTACATTTTGGACTAGACATGACAGAATGGGTGTGTGTGGTGAATGAGCACAGTTTGAAAAAAATTCTGCCTCAAAGACTGTCATCTGGGAAACTAGCAAACAATTGAAGATGTTGAGAAGTTGTTGTTGGTGTGGATCAACAAAAAACAGTTAGCGGGAGATAGTGTTGTGGAGGCGATAATTTGCGAAAAGGCAAGGCAGCTGCATGCGGATCTCGTAAAGAATATGCCAACAAGAGTCTTCAATAAAGGTAAAACTGATTTAAATGTTTATCCATTAAAATGAGTGCTTTATATTTATTTCTCATTGTTTTCTGTAAGTAAAACTATAGTTATTCTCTATAAAATGTAATTTTTGGGTGTCTGGAATGGATTAATTGGATTTACTTGATTTCTTATGGGAAATATTACTTCGGGTTTCGTCTATTTTGGATTTCGACTGACCTTCTGGAACGGATTAAGGATGAAAATTGGGGTATTACTGTATTTGAGTACAGTTTTGTGTGAGAGGAGCGAGGACATCCAGCAGGCATGTGTGAGCATGTTAAATAGGAGTGGAGGCAAATAGTTTCTGGGACTTAATGATCTACTGGAGTGTGAGCAAGGTAACATTTTATGAAGGAATTCAGGTTAACCATTTAACTGGAATTGAGTTTTGGAGGTGGGAAGTATAGTGCCTGCACTCTAAAAGAGGCGGGGAATATTTGCAGTTTGAAGGGACATCTGAACTGTAGTATCTATGTGCTTCTGGCAACACAGTGATAGAGTGGATGATGGTGAAAGTGTTTCATTTTGTATCAGCTTGACAAAATGCATTTAGCTCCTAATACAGATGCAACTTAGTCTAATGTTGTCAAAATAATAATATCAGTACAAGAGCTTTGTATTGGACTGATGAAGCCACTATGTGGCAAAACGTTTCCTCAATAAAGATTCCCATATGTTGCATAAGTGTCTCAATCTTCAAAGTCTATAACTATCTTCCTTTTACTCACACCATGTGTTGCTGACAATAAGGGAGAACACTACCTTAACTATGTTTAAAAATGTTTGAAAACTGATTGTACTGTAACAAATAAGCAAAAATAAAATGAATTTTACTTACATAGCTAGTGCTGTAAACCAGTGTTTACTAAAATTCGATGTGTACAAGAATTAAAACTAATCACCCCTTTGTTTACTGATGTGTGGAATAAATAAGTTAATACAGTAATGCTAAGACACTTACCATGCTTTGCTTGTCGAAGAACACCTTGCCTGTCAAGCAACCTGCAAGCCTCAAGAGCACACTGTATTACTGCTTCTTTCTTCTTGCCTTTGTGTTCAACAATGGCAACTAATGGGCCACCAGCAGGGCCAGGAACAGGAAGTCTGAAAAAGTATATGTTCACACAAAGACCATTATTAGTTACAGATGTTAAATAGACTGATTGAGACACCCAAGAAAGACAAAGTTAAAAATACAGTGGAACCTCGACTTACAAGTTTAATCCGTTCCGTGACCTAGCTTGTAATTCAATTTGCTTGATATCAAATCAATTTTCCTCATTTAAATTAACTGAAATGCCATTAATCCGTTCCAGTGGAATTCCTGTTCTTGGGAGGCAGGACAAAATACTTCAATATAACGCATAATATCAACTCTTCGGCTTATTTATATATCACAATTCATCTAATATGAAATAATAAACAATATAGTATACTCTAGAGTGAATAAAATATGTCATTATGTGATGAGTGGTGGCGGGCATTGCCACTCCCGCACTGACCATATCTTCCCATTCTTTCCTTTCTGAAAATGGAGTGTTTGTGAGGCTAACTGCACTAGATCACTAGTTGCATAAGAAAAACACTGAAACAATGTATTTATTTATTGACGCTGGTGAGGGGCTCTTGATCTAGGGAATTGGATCTGTGCTCCAGTTCCCTAAATTAATAATAATAATAATAATAATGAGGAGCTTCAGAACACCGCCATTAGTTGGCGCAGCGAATACCAAAACATCCGCTGAGCAATGGAAGCATTTCTCTCGTGCTTTGCTTGCATTTTGTACAGTTATTTTGCCAAATTTCTTTTTCTCTAACCATGGGTCCTAAGAAAGTAAGTGCAAAGGACAGTGCTGAGAAGAAAAAGAGGATGATGTCCATGGAATTAAAGCATGAAATCATAGATAAACACAAGCGAGGTGTGGTTTGTGGGTTGAAGGGGAAGCTCGCTTGTAACTCGGATTTTGGCTCGTAACTCAGAGCAAAAAATCAACTGAGCAACAGCTCGTATCTCGAAAAACCTCATATGTTGGGGCACTCGTAAGTCGAGGTTCCACTGTATTAAGAAATCAAAGTGCACAGTCAAGTTCAAATTCCCATTACATGCTTATCTGAAGTTGTACCAAACTCTAGGCAGGCTTCAGTTGCTCCATTTCTCATTACAGTAGTTAAGGATCCTACCACATAACAGGACTTTCACCTGTGACCATACAACAAGCCATGTATGAAAAACATTTATGGTGTTGATTTTTGCCTATAATGTTCAGATGATTTTTGCTCATACATTTTTGCAAAATAATGTTTTATAAAATACAGTACGTAGTACCTCAGTACTTGAACAGCTCCCAACTCGAACAATTTGGTATTTGAATGCTTTGTTCGGTAAAAAAATCGCTTGGTAGTTGACTGTTTGTTCGGCACTCAACCAAACAAACACGACCTGCTGCCAAGAAATACATCAGTGAGCTTAATGAAGTAGGGGTGAGGGCTTTATTCCCCAACAACTGTTCAACTGTGATGAGACAAAATGGTTTATTTTGGAAAAAAATGCCAAACAGAACCTAAATCACTCGAGAGGAGAAGTCATTTCCAGCACACAAGCCAATGAAAGACAGACTCACTCTTCTGTTGTGAGGGAATGCAAGTGGTGATTTAACTCTTTCACTGTTGGTCCCATAATATTACAGCTTACAAACCAGTGTTGATCCCATAATAGTACGCCAAAATTCTAGCGGCTTCCAATCTTGCGGGAGATAGCTGGTAGGCCTACATATGAGAGAATGGGTCTGGGTAGTCAGTGCGTGCACTATAAAAAAAAAAAAAAACCTGCAGCACGCAGTGCATAATGAGATAAAAAACTGACTATCTTTTTGGTTTTAAACAGCGACTTTGCGGTGTATTTTCCTATGGTATTTATGGCTGTATTCTCATTTTCTTGGTCTCATTTGATAGAATGGAAGATATATTACAGAAATAGAGATGATTTTTGAATGGTTTACAGATAAAAGTACCTTGAAATTGAGCTCAAAGTAACGGAAATGTGAAGAATAACTAAACATTATGAAAAAAATCACTCAATTTGAACTATTTTTGATGCCACTTAAAGGTTATGCCACTTAAAGGTTAAAACTGTGTATCATAAAGCAGTTTAAAAAGTACTTATGCCTGAAGTGTATTAGCTTGTTTCTATTGATTTTGTTAGGCAGTACTCTACAGACTAATGACTGTCAGTGTTAAAACTCATGTTAGGTAATGTTCACACTGTTACACAATGAATAACAACTTCACTGGATACCTGTGATACTTTTGAGTTTTCTTTTACCCCTCACAACTGAGCCTGAGGCCAGGGCTCCATGTTGACTGCCTGTTTAACCAAACTGTTCATGCTAGCAGCTCCAAGGTGCACACAGCCATCACAACCTGGCTCCTCAGGTACTTGTAGGAGGGAATGGTCCAGTTTCCTCTTAAAAACTAATATCTTATGATCTATTGATCAAACTACCTTCATTTCAAACTGAGTTAAGAAAAACAGGTACAACATACAGTGTATTATAAAACATTACATAGGACAAATTTTCAGTAGTGTTAAATGGAAATTAACTGAATTTTTGTCTGACTCACTCCACTTTGCATTTGTAAAACCCTTGACTGATGTCTTCAGTTTCATAACTGGGAAGATCATAGCCCTCTCGCTCAAACCATCCACGGAGGGTCTTCTTTGGGTCATCCAGATATAACTCTTCATTGAGAGAAGCAAAAGGATTTTCCTCTTCTTCTGCCTCCTCTACTGCATCATCTCCTATTAAAGAATTAAATAAATGTAGCTGTAGTATAAAACACCTTGGAGAACACTCATAAAATTCATGTAGATTGTAATATTATATTTTTAAAAGGAAGACTTTGTACTGTTTTCATAGGTGTACTTGGGTCTGAAATTCTGCAGTGTTTCTTTCTTAGGGATAGTATTAGCACTACTGCATAAAAATACCCATGTGAATGGCACCCCTAAACTTCCTTCGTCAAACGTAAGTCATATAGATACTTTACTGTGCTGATAAATCAACATTTCTCTCTCTCTCTTTTAAGCACATATCATGTTTGAATACTGAAAAAGTTGCCAGGTCTAAGTTATATAACCAGTCAATGACCCAGGCTTTGAACGTGTCACAGAGGTTATTTACTGATATTAATGTATCACCGTCATTATTACCATATTTATGGAGTGATAAGGCATCTACCAGGAAATGGCAAAAACATATCACTGTACAGAAATACAGAGTTTAACCCTTAAACTGTCCAAATGTAGATCTACGTTTTTTCAACATTTGTAAGTAAGTAAAAAAACGCAGACCTCTTTTTTTTTTCTTTTACATTTGAAAATGTGTAAAAAACTTTGATCTGCTTTTTTTTTTTTTGTTATATTTGAAAAGATGTAAAAAACGTAGATCTACTTTTGGAGCACTACGCATGTGAACGTAGATTTGTTTGGACAGTTTAAGGGTTAAAGATGATGAATAAATTAATGCCCAACTGTTAACACAGTACTGTACCATCATCCCCCCTCAAGGAAGGTTCCTTGATGTTGGTGAGGGGCTCTTGATTTAGGGAATTGGATCTGTGCTCCAGTTCCCCGAATTAAGCCTGAATGCCTTCCACATATCCCCCCCCAGGCGCTGTATAATCCTCCGGGTTTAGCGCTTCCCCCTTGATTATAATAATAATGTACTATCATCCTTATTAAATAGAATCACATGTAACAGAAATACTGTACATGCAAGCCTGACTAAATCTGTTAAAAGTTACAGTAAGATACAACCTTTAATACTATTGTTCACAGTCACTAGAATTATGAGCAACAGTAATACACATGAACATCTTGTACACTAAAATATAAATCATTCTGTGTTATACAGTATCAATTTTTTTGATCTATATTTGTTACATATTCAGCAAAGCTATTTGTATGTAAACTCAGAAGCGAAATGTTGATTTATGCCAAAATAGGTTCTGAGATGATTAAAGAAAATGGAAAAATGTTTCTTGGCATGGGTTTTCATTATACAATGACCCACTTACTGAAAATTTTTGTCAGAAGATCAAGACCTGCTGAATTACCATTCTTCATCATAAAAAAAAAAATTATTAAGTTGCTATGATTGAGCAGTGGAGAATGTTGTGGTTCTGAGGGTCATTTAAACTGTGATACACGTCTGGCAGGACAGCTACTGAATGAATGAATGATGGTGAATGTGCTTCCTTCTTTGGGTTACCCTACTTTGGTGAGAGATGGCTTATGGTAAAAAAAAAATCATAAGATGTGTGTTGAATGATTTTAGTAAGTGACAGAAATACTTATAAGATATGTAATGATATAAGCATTTGAGAGAATGAATTTACAACAATACACATTTTTTTACATCAGCTTCTTCCACCAAAGTAAGATGCTCAAAAGAAGAAAATATATTCACCATCCCTCATTCAATAGCCATTTGGCAGTAGTGCACAAACATCACAATTCAAGTGATCCTTTAAATTACAAAATTCTCAAGTTCATCTGGATTCTACCTGGAGAGTCTTCTAAGGCTCAATGCCCTTGTGATCCAATCTCAGACAAGGCTTCCCAGAGGATGACCTGATCAGCCAGGCTGTGTGGTCCAGTGTAAGTACCACAGACTGGCTAATCAGGAACTCGTTAAATGATTTCCCAAATCACTTCACAAATTTAACTTTGCCCACACTCCAACAGAACATAAATCACAAAGGGCATGTGGCTTCATTCACTGTGATCTAACTCATTCATACATGCTAGTTGGACACACTCAAGTCCTAGCTAGTTAAAACCTCCTTTACCCCTTACTCCAACTCTTCCTGGAACATCCACCTCAGATTTATATATCTTAGGCAATCTATTCTACCTCACCCATTATATAATTAGAAATACAAATGAAAATAATTTAGAAAAACATTAATAAAGAAATTAAGTGAGATTTCCTGGTAGACTACCTAAGAAACTGGATTCCAAACTAACCCATTCCCCAGTCTATGCCTTCTTTATCCTCTTGGCTTTCTCCACTTATTTCAGATTTCTCTTTTTGTTGGTCAGGGTTGTTTTCTTCCAGTTCCCCAGTTTCCAGTTGTTCCAGTTTTTTGGCACGTTCTGCTGCCAGCGCTTTCAATTCTGTTACAGTTAATTCTGATTCTGGTTCTTGATCGTCTTCAGGACCCTGATGAATAAATAGATGAAATATTTGTCAGTTCACTGTACTGTTATCACTGAAACTCTTTTGTTTTGTATATTCACATAAATATAAAATGTTGGACTTTTAACACTGCAAAATTCTAATCTTACATATTAGTCAAGCCTTTAAATCTCTCCCCTTTGACCACCTTTGAAACTATCACTGCTTTCCTCACTCAAATGTTAACATTTAATTATACTTTTAACATCACATAACTATTCTACATTAACCATATTTATTTCAACATTCTCTGTAAAATCTGTTAGCTTTTGACTGTTGAATCCATATTTACATAATGTAAGTAATAAATAAAAGTTTGCCTAAATATGTGACCTTTACAACCAGCCTGGCCTCACATTATGCATAATAATATATGTGATGATTTCACTAATGTGCATATTCTTGAAAACACCTTACTGCTGGACAAGTTGTGCCTATTTTTTAAATATGCTTATTTGTGGTTAAATATGTTTTTGTAGGTTTATGCAACCAATTTAAAAAAATCTATGCAGAGAATATTCAACAATCACTGGGTAATGTGTAAGGAAAAGGTATCAAACAATGCTGGGACATTACAACCTGATTCGGTATAGTTGTGCAGCTTAGTAATATACAGTGGAACCTTGGATTTCGTCATTAATTCGTTCCAGAAAGTCTGATGAAAACTGAATTTGACAAAAACTGAAACAATATTTCCCAAAAGAAATAATGTAAATCCAATTAATCTGTTCCAAACACCCAAAAGTATTAACAAAAAATACATTTTATAGAGAATATCTATAGTTTTACATGCAGAAAACAATAAGAAATAAATATAAATGACTAATGAAATGGACAAATGAACATTTAATATCACTTTTACCTTTATTAAAGACTCTTGTTGGCGTATGGAAGATGGCGAGGAGGGGAGAGGGAGGAGAGGTCATCTCTACCACCCTCTACCAATGAGAAGCAAAGCCAGACTGACTCAGAACACGTGGGATGCTATGTGTGGATGCGGGTGGACACGTTCTGAACAGTGACCACTGTCAACTTGACAAAAACCGAGGTGATGAACGAAAACTGGGACAAAATTTTGATGAAAAAAAAAAAAGACGTTGAAAACCAAATTTAACGAAAATCAGGGCAAGTGAAAACGGGTTCCACTGCACTTCCAACTAGGGAATTATCAGCTTAATAACACGTTTCCAACTAGGGCATTATCAGCTTAGTAACATGCTTCCAATTAGGGCATTATCAACCTAGTAACATGTTTCCAACTATGGCATTATCAGTTTAGTAACATGCTTCCAACTAGGGCACTATCAGCTTAGTAACTCATTTCTAACTGGAGCATTATCAGCTTAGTAACTTGCTTCCTACTAGGGCATTATCAACTTAGTAACATGCTACCAACTTAGAGGCAGGAAACCAGGTCCTTATTAACCAAGACAATGCATCAAAGCAGCTATAATGTTCTAGTCTGTTTATCTTCTTTCAACACACCAACTGTATCCCACTGAGGCAGGGTGGCCCAGAAAAAGAAAAACAAAAGTTTGTCTTTTTAGCTTCAGTAATGTATACAGGAGAAGGGGTTAGTCTATTTATGTTTACTTTTATTCACTGTGGATATTCCACCCAGTTAAATAAAATGAAAAACAAAACTACCTGACAGGTGGCTTTCTTTCTAAGTTGGTTTTGCTTTGTATCGTATTCTTGATTTTTTTTTTTTTCAACAAGTCGGCCGTCTCCCACCTAGGCAAGGTGACCCAAAAAAGAAAGAAAATCCCCAAAAAGAAAATACTTTCATCATCATTCAACACTTTCACCACACTCACACATTATCACTGCTTTTGCAGAGGTGCTCAGAATACAACAGTTTAGAAGCATATACCTATAAAGATACACAACATATCCCTCCAAACTGCCAATATCCCAAACCCCTCCTTTAAAGTGCAGGCATTGTACTTCCCATTTCCAGGACTCAAGTCCGACTATATGAAAATAACCGGTTTCCCTGAATCCCTTCACTAAATATTACCCTGCTCACACTCCAACAGATCGTCAGGTCCCAAGTATCATTCGTCTCCATTCACTCCTATCTAACATGCTCATGCACGCTTGCTGGAAGTCCAAGCCCCTCGCCCACAAAACCTCCTTTACCCCCTCTTTCCAACCCTTTCGAGGACGACCCCTACCCCTCTTTCCTTCCCCTATAGATTCATATGCTTTCCATGTCATTCTACTTTGATCCATTCTCTCTAAATGACCAAACCACCTCAACAACCCCTCTTCTGCCCTCTGACTAATGCTTTATTAACTCCACACCTTCTCCTAATTTCCACACTCCGAATTTTCTGCATAATATTTACACCACACATTGCCCTTAGACAGGACATCTCCACTGCCTCCAACCGTCTCCTCGCTGCTGCATTTACCACCCAAGCTTCACATCCATATAAGAGTGTTGGTACTACTATACTTTCATACATTCCCTTCTTTGCCTCCATAGATAACGTTTTTTGACTCCACATATACCTCAACGCACCACTCACCTTTTTTCCCTCATCAATTCTATGATTAACCTCATCCTTCATAAATCCATCCGCTGACATGTCAACTCCCAAGTATCTGAAAACATTCACTTTTTCCATACTCCTCCCCAATTTGATATCCAATTTTTCTTTATTTAAATCATTTGATACCCTCATCACCTTACTCTTTTCTATGTTCACTTTCAACTTTCTACCTTTACACACATTCTCAAACTCATCCACTAACCTTTGCAATTTTTCTTTAGAATCTCCCATAAGCACAGTATCATCAGCAAAAAGTAACTGTGTCAATTCCCATTTTGAATTTGATTCCCCATAATTTAATCCCACCCCTCTCCCGAACACCCTAGCATTTACTTCTTTTACAACCCCATCTATAAATATATTAAACAACCATGGTGACATTACACATCCTTGTCTAAGACCTACTTTTACCGGGAAGTATTCTCCCTCTCTTCTACACACCCTAACCTGAGCCTCACTATCCTCATAAAAGCTCTTTACAGCATTTAGTAACTTACCACCTATTCCATATACTTGTAACATCTGCCACATTGCTCCTCTATCCACTCTATCATATGCCTTTTCTAAATCCATAAATGCAATAAAAACTTCCCTACCTTTATCTAAATACTGTTCACATATATGCTTCAATGTAAACACTTGCTCTACACATCCCCTACCCACTCTGAAGCCTCCTTGCTCATCCACAATCCTACATTCTGTCTTACCTCTAATTCTTTCAATTATAACCCTGCCATATACTTTTCCTGGTATACTCAGTAAACTTATTCCTCTATAATTTTTACAATCTCTTTTGTCCCCCTTCCCTTTATATAAAGGGACTATACATGCTCTCTGCCAATCCCTAGGTACCTTCCCCTCTTTCATACATTTATTAAACAAAAGTACCAACCACTCCAACACTATATCCCCCCCTGCTTTTAACATTTCTGTCATAATCCCATCAGTTCCAGCTGCTTTACCCCCTTTCATTCTACGTAATGCCTCACGTACCTCCACCACACTTACATTCTTCTCTTCTTCACTCCTAAAACATGGTATACCTCCCTGGCTAGTGCATGAAATTACCGCCTCCCTTTCTTCCTCAACATTTAAAAGTTCCTCAAAATATTCTCGCCATCTACCTAATACCTCCCTCTCCCCATCTACTAACTCCCCTACTCTGTTTTTAACTGACAAATCCATACTTTCCCTAGGCTTTCTTAACTTGTTTAACTCACTCCAAAATTTTTTCTTATTTTCATTAAAATTTCTTGACAGTGCCTCTCCCACTCTTTCATCTGCTCTCCTTTTGCACTCTCTCACCACTCTCTTCACCTTTCTTTTACTCTCCATATACTCTGCTCTTCTTATAACATTATTATATTATATTATGGGGAAGTGCTAAACCCATATGGTCATATAATGCCAAGGGAATGAAAGGTAATCAAGTTTGATCTGGGGGAGGGTAGAGTAGCTCCAATTCCCTGGATCAAGAGCCCTTCACCAGTAAAAATGAACCTCCTTTGAGGAGAGTACACTTGATCAGTTTCAGTTTTGAACACTACAGCATACTGTAGTATAAAGGCAAGTGTGCAGTAAGGTAACTACGTATTTTAATTTTAAACTTGTTTTACCACCACCATCAGCACCTGCTGCTGCTATACTGCTAACCCCACACTACTGCTGCTGCCATCTCTCCTCCCTCCCTATTCCCCAGTTCTGTCTTCTGGCCTTCTCTTCTTTTTTTTTCTCATTCAGTTATGACTTGACGATGGTCCAGGACAGACTGAAATGTTATCCTAAAGTTCCTCTCCTACCATTTTACCTTCTGCATGATAACCAAGCTGAACTGGTCAGTTTGGATGTCATGCACTATCCTACACTAATACACTTGCTCCATCCACACTGCCAGACACTCTCCACTTACACTGCCACACACAATCTACCAGTCATGGTACTGTGACTTTTTCTTCTTCAACAACTGAAATGCTACTCACTTGCAAAATCAGCATACGAGTACTGCCACCGAACTTTAGCATGTGACCAACTCGCAAGTGGTAGTAAGTATGAGGCTTCATCGGATGCTTGTTGTGGAAAGAGCCATGGGTACTACCAAGGTCATAAGCATAAAATCCTTGTGGCTGTGTGTCAGAACCCACGAGTCTATACTGAATAATACAGTGAAATCTGAAAAAAAAAGTACTGAAAAATTATTCATAGTACAATGATGATCACTTCTTGCATGAAAAATGATAAATGTTATTTATAGATAATACATGTGTAGCTAAATGTGTTAAAACAATTGATAAACTTAAGTGTGATTTAAATCCACACCTCCAGCACCAATGAACTAAAGAAAAAAGGTTGGGAAAACCTTTATGAAGCTGCTAAAGACTCATCATCAGTGCCAAACAGGAAAATAGAGTTCACTTACTATCTTCACATGCATTAAAAGAATAATAAGGTGCAAGACATTAAGAAAGAGATGAAGCTGGAGAAAAATAAACATAAAGTATTACTGAAAGATATTTAAATACCTAACATATAAATTGGAATAGAGAAAACCACAATAACAAGAAGTTTGCTCCCAGGCTAGAAACTGACCGTGATAGTGATGGATGTTCCATAACAATGTCACACTGTGCAAGGCGACCAACAACAGAAATTGGTCTATTCAAATGTATTACATCTATGATAGTTCCATTTTTAAGAACTTCAAATGAGTAAGCAGCAGGTGGCAATCCACTCCATGATGGTTCCTGAAAAGAAGAAACAGTGTACAGTGAAGGGTATATTATTCAGTACCTGAATACTACTATTACTATATTCATGGGGAAGTACTAAATCCAAAGGAGTCATACAGTGCATGGGGAAATGGAAGGCAATCAGGTTTTATCAAATGAAGGAGGGAGAGGGGTAGCCCTAATTTGTTAGGTCAAGATACATTCACTAGCATAAATGCACCTCCTTGAAGGGTCCTGTATTTCTTTTAACACATCAGCAATTGCAAACCAGAAAAAGAGGAAATGTCCTCACCATCACTCAATAATCATTGTCCTGCCAGAAGAGTACTGACATCACAGTTCAGATGGCCCCCGATACTGCAACACTCTCACGCCTCCATAAGAGCACAGACCCTGTACTTCCCATCAACAGGACTAAAGTCCAGCTAACCAGTTTCCCTAAACCCATTCATAAAAGTTACCTTTCTCACACTCCAATAGTACACTAGGTCACAAAAACTACTTGTCTCCACTCACCTTGATCCAATGTGCTCAATATAAGCCCAATGAATATTTACCCCAAGCACTGAAAGCCTCCTTCACCCCATCCTTCCAACCCGTCCTGGGACAACCCCTACCATTCCTTCCCTCCATCCCAGATTTATATGCCTTCATCCTCTCTAAGTGTCCAGGACACCTCAACAACCCCTCCTCAGCCTTCTAAAGTATACTTTTGGCAATCCCACACCCAAAACTGTGCCAACTCTCACTTTCAACCAAATCCATCATCTTTTAATCCTACACCCGTCACCAACACCCCAACACTCAATTTTTTTACAACCTCATCTATAAATATTTTAAACAAACATGGTGGCATCACAAATCTCTGTCTAAGGCCATATTATTCTGGAAAATAATCCCCTCTCTCTCCTATAACCTAACCTGGGCCTATCAGCTCAGGTTAGGTTATCACACCTATCAGCATAAAAACTCTTTACAGCTTTTAGTAACCTACCATCTTTTCAATATATTTGCAGAATCTGCCACATTGCTCTCCTATCCAGTTTATAAAATGCCTTTTCTAAATCCATAAATGCAATAAAAGGTTCTTAACCCTTATCTAAGTACAGTACTGTTAACTTATATGATTTAATGTAAACACTTGATCTACACCTCCCATGCCCTTCAATGATTCAATGTAAATATAATCTACACCTCCCATGTCCTTCATATATCCTTATTCCTCTGCATTCCCTATATACAGTATGTAGTAGAAAAGGCTTCCTTAGAACTGTACCTGTATATAAACTATTGGATATCATATGGTAATTATATTAACACTAAACACTAAACACTAACACTAAACACTAACACTAACACTAACACTAACACACACACACACACACAATCGGCCTGACGACACTGGAGGACAGGAGGGTCAGGGGAGACATGATAACGACATATAAAATACTGCGTGGAATAGACAAGGTGGACAAGGACAGGATGTTCCAGGGAGGGGACATAGAAACAAGAGGCCACAATTGGAAGTTGAAGACACAAATGAGTCAGAGAGATAGTAGGAAGTATTTCTTCAGTCATAGAGTTGTAAGGCAGTGGAATAGCCTAGAAAATGATGTAGTGGAGGCAGGAACCATACACAGTTTTAAGACGAGGTTTGATAAAGCTCATGGAGCGGGGAGAGAGAGGGCCTAGTAGCAACCGGTGAAGAGGCGGGGCCAGGAGCTAGGACTCGACCCCTGCAACCACAAATAGGTGAGTACAAATAGGTGAGTACACACACACACACACACACACACACACAAAAAAAAAAAAAAAAAAAAAAAAAAAAAATCACTTCCCACATAAACAGATCGGTGGAGTATTTTGTTGTTCCAGGATAAAAGGAAAAAGTGATCCACTCCATGGAGCTTTTGGTTATATGACCTAGGCCTTCAGATAGTTTACTGGTCCACCCCATAACAAATTATAAAATACATCATAAGAAAGAGCAAGGTGGTGAGAGTTACAAAAACTCTAGGCAATAAAAGAGTAGATATCAGATTAGAGGAAGGGACAGACATTTGGGAGTGGAACTCTCAGCAGATGGGTCTATGAAAGATGAAGTAAACCATAGAATAGAAAAAGAGAAAAAAGGTGAGTGGTGTGTTGAGGCAACTGTAGAGAGAAAACTTTATCCATGGAGGCAAAGAGGGAAATATACCAGAGTACAGAGAAGCCAACATTGTTATATGGGTATGAAACTTGGGTTTTGAACACTTCAGAGAAGAGGAGGCCGGAGGCAGTGGAGATTTGTTTAAGGGATATGTGTCGTGTGAAAATTATGCAGAGAATCTGGAGCATACAGATCAGAAGATAGTAGGCTGGTAGACAGTAACCGCCCAGGGAGGTAATACCCTCCTGCCATATGAATGTAAAATGGAAGCCTGTAATTGTTTTACATGATGGTAGGATTGCTGGTGTTTTTTTTTCTGTCTCATACACATGCAAGATTTCAGGTATGTCTTGCTACTTCTACTTACACTCAAGTCACACTACATATACATGTACAAGCATATATATATATTTTTTTTTTTTTTTTTTTTTTCAACAAGTCGGCCGTCTCCCACCGAGGCAGGGTGACCCAAAAAAAAAAAAAATTTCCCCAAAAAAAAAATATTTTCCCACATCATTCAACCCCCACCACACCACACATTTTCCTGCTTTTCCCGGGGGTTCCCCCCGGGAAATACAACAGTTTAGAAGCATATACGTATAAAGTACAAAACATATCCCCCAAACTCCCCAATTTTCCCATATATATAAATATAAAATATAAAATATATATAAAAATATTTTTAATATATAAATATATAAAAAAAATAATAAAAAAATATATATATATATTTTAAATAAATATATTTTATATATAATATATAATAATAAATATATATAATAAATATATATTTTAAAAATAAATAAAAATTTATTATAAATATAATATTTATATTTTATTTTTTTTTTTTTATTATCAAAAAGGCCGTTTTCCCACCAAGGCGGGTGGGGGCCCCCAAAAAGAAAAACTTTCCACCCATCATTAAACCCATCACGGGCCCTTGCCAAAAAGGGGGTGTTTTAAAAACTACTTTTTTTAAAAACTGCAACATTAAAAACCCTCCCTTTCAGAGTGCAGGCACGGGTATTTTTCCATCCCCAAAGACTAAAATCCGGCCTCCCGGGTTTCCCAAAAATCCCTTCAAAAAATTTATTTTGGCTCAAAACCCCAAACCCAGCACGTCAAGTTTTAAAAAAAAAACCATTTGCCCTCCATTCACTCCAATCAAAAAACCTAAATGCATGCCCCCGGGAATCCAAGCCCCTCGAACAAAAAAAACCTTTCCTTTACCCCCTCCCTCCAAACCCTTTTCCTGGGCCGACCCCAAACCCCCCCCCTTTCCTTCCACTACAGACGTTTACACTCTTAAAGTCATTTGTTTCGCTCCATTCCTCTACATTTCCAAACCCCCCCTCAAAAAACCCTTCCTCACCCCACTGGACAACATTTTTGGAAATTCCCGCACCTCCTCCTAACTTCCAAACTACAAATTCTCTGCATTTTATTCAAACCACACATTCCCCAACCCTGACATCTCCACTGCCTCCCGCCTCTCCTCGCTGCAAAAATTCATCACCCACGCTTCACAAAAACCCCTATAAAAACATTTTGGGAAAACTATACCTCAACATTCCCCCTTTTTCCCCCCAAGGACAAAGTTCCCTTTTTCTCCCCAAACCCCTAAGGGGCACAAAACCCCTCACTTTTTTTTTCCCCATCAATTCATGATTCCCCCTCAAACTTTCATAACCCCCTTTCCCCTGACAAAGCCACTTTCCCCAAAAATCTGAATAACGTTCACCTCCCCCCCCCTACCTCTCCCTCCAATCTGATATTTTAATTTTTTCATCACCCCCAATCTTTTTTTTTTATCCCATAACCTTACCTTTCCTTTTTCACCTTTTAAAATTTTTTTCTTTTGCACACCCCAAACCCAAATTTTATCCACCAATTTTTCTGCAACTTTTCTTTTAGGGAAACTCCCAAGAGCACAGTGTCATCAGCAAAGAGCAGCTGTTGGGCAACCCCCAAATTTGTGTGTATTCTTTAACTTTTTTTAAATCCCGCCTCTTTCCAAGAAACCTCGCAAATTACTTTTTCTTACAAACCCCCTCTATAAAAATATTAAAAAAAAACCACGGTGACATCACACATCCTTGCTAAGGGGCCCACTTTTACTGGGAAAAAATTTCCCTCTTTCCTCATACCTAACTTTAGCCCCACTATCCTCGTAAAAAATCTTCACTGCTTTCAGTAACCTACCTCCTACCCCATTCACCGGGAACATTTTGGGCCCCATTGCCCCCCCTATCCCCCCCGTCCCTATGCCCTTTTTTTAAATCCCCTAAATCCACAAAGACCTTTTTTAACCCTTAACCCAAATTTCTGTTTACCCTTTTAAGTTTTAAATGTAAAAAACCTTGGGCCACACAAAAACCCCACCTTTCCCAAAACCTCCCCTTTTTTCATCTTTCTATCCCTATTCTTTCCTCTTTCCCCTTTAATTTTTTCAATTAAACTCTAAACCCTACACTTTTCCAGGTACCCTCAAAAGATTTTCCCCCCCATAATTTTTTTCACTCCTTTTACCCCTTTGCCTTTTTAAAAAAAGGAACTATGCATTTCTCTCCCGCCAATCCCTAGGGACCTTAAACCCCCTTTCCCAAATTTTTTTAAATAAATTTCACCAACCCCCCAAAACTATTCCCCCACCTCTTTTTAAAAAATTTCTATCTTTTCCCCATCAATCCCGCTGCCTTACCCCCTTTTTATTTTTTCCTACTCCTCACAACTTCCCCCCCCACCACAACTGGGCTCTTCCCCCCACTCCCCACAAAATGTTTTTTTCCTCCTTGCCCTTACAAAATCACAGCTTCCCTATCTTCATCAAAATTTAACTTTCCCTAAAAATTTTCCCCCCTTTTTTTCCCAATACCTCTAACCTCCATTTAAAAATTTCCCCCTCCCTTTTTTAAACTAAAAACCCCATTTGTTCTCTAGCTTTTTAACTTGTTAACTCACTCCAAACTTTTTCTTATTTTCAACAAAATTTGTTGATAACATCTCACCCCCTCTCATTTGCTCCTTTTTACATTGCTTCACCCACTCTTTTTAACCTCTCTCTTTTTCTCCTATACTCTTCCCTCCTTTGCATCACTTCTTTTTGGGGAAAAAATTTTCTCATATGCTAACTTTTTCCCCCCTTACTACTCTCTTTACATCATCATTCCACAATGCCCCTTTTTTTCCCCCCCTCACCCACTTTCCTGAAACCACAAACTTCTGCTAAACACTCTAACACTACTTTTTTAATCCTCCCCCTCCCTCTTCGACCCCATTGCCTATGCCTCTTTTGCCCTTTATCCTCCAATAGCTGTTTTATTTCCCCTAAGCCTCCTCTTTTAGTTTATAAACCTTCCCCTCCTTTTCCCTATGCTTTTATTCCCTGTACCCTCCCTTTTACTCTAGTTGCTACAAAGAAAGTGCGATAAATCTGGGCCCCCTCTTAAACATGTACATCCTGAAGTCTACTCAGCATCTTTTATCTCCCAATACATAACCCAAAACTACTGTCATTTCCCCCTACATCATATTTGTATACTTATTTATCCTTTTTTTTTTTAAAATATGTATTACCTAAACTAAACCCCTTCTATCAAAGTTCAATAAAAGGGCCCCCATTATCATTTACCCCTGGCCCCCCAAACTTCCCTACCACACCCTCTCAAAAGTTTCCCCCACTTTAGCATTCATCCCCTACCACAATTACTCTCTCATTTGGTTAAAAGGCTCCTATAATCATTTAAATCCCCAAAAAATCTCTCTCTCTCCTCTGCATTCCTCCTTCTCCATTGCAAACGCTTATATGACCCACTTCCGCACCCAAACCCTTTACTTTAATCCACAAATTTCTTGAATTTACACATTCATATTCCTTTTCCCCTTTTCCAAAATGATCATTTAACATTCGCACCCCTTTCCTTTGCCTAAATCTCTCAGATACCCAGTTTTAAATCCCGTTTTTTTTCCCCCCCACTAAAACCCCCTACCCCCTTCAGCTTTTTTTTCGTTTAGGCCAGGACATCCAACTTTTTTCATTCATAACCACAATCATTGTTTTGAAACCGACTACACCACCACTTTTAAAGCAACCTAGTTTTATAAAGTTTTTCTTCTTCTTTTTTGAAAATGTATACAGGAGAAGGGGTTTCTAGCCCATTGCTCCCGGGATTTTAGTCGCCTCTACGACACGCAAGGTTACGGGGGAAAAAAATTTTTTTCCACTTTTCCCCCTGGGCAATAGAAGAAATAAAAAAAGGACAAACTTTTGAAAAAGGGGAAAAACCTAGATTATTATATAAAAATGCTGTGCGTGTCTGTGAATGTGACCAAAATGTAAGTAGAGTGCAAAATATCCCCGTTTTCTACGTTTTATGAGACGAAAAAGAAACCAGCAATCCTACCATCATGCAAAACAATTTAAGTTTTTTTTCAAAATACTGGGAGGACGGGAGACTTCCCCCGGGGGTTGTGTCTACCCAAACCCACTACCCATTCTACCCATATATAAAATATATAAATTTTTTATATATATATATATATATAATAATTTTTAAAATTAAAATATATAAAATTTTATTTAAATTAAAAATTAAATTATTATTATATAATATTATAAAAAATAAAAATAATTTTTTATTTATTTTATATATATATATATATATATATATATATAAATATATATATATATATATATATATATAATATAAAAAAATTTTTTAAAAATATATATTATAAAATTTATATATAAATAAATATAAAATATAATTAAAAAATTTTAAAAAGGGGGCCCCCGGGAAAATTTTTACCCATGTGGGAAAGTATAAAAAAGGCCCCCAAGAAATATTTTAAATAATTAATTCGGGGGCCCCCAACATACCCCAAAGATTTTCATCCCACTACCAATTTTTTCCTAAGAATATTGGGGTAGATTAATATTTAAAAAATAATAAAAATAAATAAAATTTAATAATTTTTGGATAAATTTTTCTCCCCCTGTTTTTTATATAAATAAAAATATTATATATTATAAAATATATATATAAATATATATATATATATATATAATATTTTATATAATTATATAAAAAAAATATATATTAATATATAATATTTTAAAAAAATATTAAAATAATAATAAAATATATATATATATATATATAAAAATATAAATATAATATATTATTAATAATATATATTTTAATAAAATATATATTAAATATTATATATATAAATATATATATATATAAATATATTAAATATATTAAAATTAAAAATAAAAAAAAATAAAAATAAATTATTATTAAAAATTTAATAAATATATTAAATATAAATTTAAATATTAAAAAAATTAAATTTTTTTATAAAATTTTAAAAAATATATAAGTGGGGTTAGATTTTTTCATAAATAAGTTAGGTGGCCAATACAAATTGTTAAAAAATTTTTGAAGTAGTTTAGCCCTTTTAGAAAATGTAAAAGCAAAAAAATACACTTTAAAAATGGTCGCAGGAGGTAATGTTACGGGGGAGTTTATTATATTTTAAAAATTTAAAAAATAAATAATTTTAAAATTTTTAAAATTAATAATTAAAATAAAAATTAACAAACTTTTTATATTATTATATAAAAATTTAATTATTATTATTTTAAAATTTAAATAAATAATAAATAAAAAATAATATATTATAAATATTTAAATTTTTAAAAAAATATATAAATTATAAAAAAATAATTTAAAATTAATAAATATTTATAATATTAAAATAAATTATAAAAAAATATTTAAAAATAATATAAAATACTATAAAAAAATTATAATATTATAAAATATATAAATTATTTTTAAAAAAATATGGGGGAAATTGAAAGAAATTGGGGAAAAAACAAATTAGGGTTGGGATGAGAAGGGGGGGTTCAGATTGGGAGGGGAAGGGGGTAAGGTTTTCATTGAAGATAATATGTGAAAATATTTAGAAAAGGAGGGGAAGTTTTTTTTGAAAAGGTTTGAAAAGGAAAATGATAAGGGTTTATAGAGGGGCAAAAGGGCATGTTAATATAGGAATAGGAGGCAAATTAATGTGTTTGATTTTTAATGGGGAAATGGGCCCTTAGGGGGAAAAGAGGGAAAGTATTTAAAA